TCCACAGTATGTGCCTCGAAACCGCACACCCATACCAGGTCCATGCCCCCCCCACGGTTGAAATGATTGAGCGCGCCTGCGTTTTTTTTTTTTTTCAGGAGCGCACCCATGAAGGGTTTGTGTGCCTTGGAAATTCCCTTTTCGGTCTCTGAATTGTAGTGATGTCCCTTCTTTCTTGAAGGGGCACCCCCCCGCAAAGATTGTAGCAATTCCCCTTCTTTTGTACACTAGCGGAACTCCCCCAGACTGGCTTGTTTCCCCTTGGTTTCCCCTTGAAATTCCTTGGTCCCCCCGAACCGCTGGTTTTCCTTTGGTTTTTCCCCTTAGAATCCTTTAAGCTCAACCTAAACCAAAACGGCGGCTCCATTTCTGACCTCCAGAGGCTGCAGTTCCCGAAGCGGCCGGCGATTTACAACGCGCCCCAGGCAGGGCTTCGGGCTTCCGGCAGCCGCGAGTTTTGGGGTGCCGCGAGTTTCCGTGCCCCTTGGGTTTCCTTTTGAACATTTCGTCGGCAAGCCTCCCCTTTGAGATCTTTGAGCTTCGCGGAGTTTGGATTTATTGGCCTTCGCATCCCGTTTCGGATTTTGTGAGGCCAATCCGCTCAAAGTTGAGACAAAGCCAAAACAAAAGTGGGGTGCACGACTGCTTCCGGCCGGGCGAGCGCCTTGGCCTGGTGCTTCCACGAAAAGTACCCCCAAGCAGACCCACAATGGCTTTGTGCTTGGCTGGGAATCTGGTTTTGCCCGCTTGTGAGTGGGAATCCGCTTGGAAGTGAAGTATGGCAAGTCGGGACCCGCTATCCCCAAGGGCTGGTCAAAAGGTTAGAGGACAATTCGCGGAATTTGGTCCCCCTAGCGTCCGCGCCGCTTTCTTGGTGTTCCTTGAAACCATCCTGACCGGACGTCTTGACACGCGCACCAAAAGAATTGGATCGTCCCAAAGCATGCGCCTCAACGCCGTCCGGGAAAGAATCAACCAGCAACAATGTGGGATGCGGCTGTGACTGGGCACGCAAGATCTGCGATTTCCCATGGAAGGCCTAATCTGTCAAGTTTGGTTTGTTTGGGAACGGAATCAAGTGGTGCTTGACGCTGCCCGGAGATGCCTGGAATTGGGTTTGGTGTAGCTCACAGGTGCCGCTTTGGGGCTGCCTTCGCTTGCGGGGAAGCTGTGCTGTTCGCTTTTGTTTCGCGTGGTTTTTAGGCGGTTTCAATTCAAGCCCGGAAGAAGGGTTTCAAGCAGGACAAACTCATACAAGCTCGTTTGAGCCACAATGCAAACCTGGGTAATTCGTGGGTGGGTGGGTGGGCGGGCGGGTGGGTGGGTGGGTGGATGGGTGGGTGGGTGGGTGGGTGGGTGGGTGGGGTTGTAGTGGTAGTAGGTAGAGGTAGTAGCAGCAGCAGCAGCAGCAAGAGAAAGGAGGAACAGGGTAGCAGTAGCAGTAACAATTAGCAGTAGTAGCAGTGGTAGCAGCAGTAGCAGTAGGAGCAGTAGTAGTAACAGTAGTAGCAGTAGTAGCAGTAGTAGCAGTAGTAGCAGTAGTAGCAGTAGTAGCAGTAGTAGCAGTAGTAGCAGTAGTAGCAGTAGTAGCAGTAGTAGCAGTAGTAGCAGTAGTAGCAGTAGCAGTAGACTTGTCCCAACCAGAAATGGTTGCGGCCAAGTTTGATTCTCTACCATGTTTTTTGGGAACCTTTTGGTTAGGCCTGGTTCTCTTGCAATATTTAGGGAACCCAACCGCACTTGGTACCAAAAGGGGGGGGGGAAGAATGCGCGCCCCTAGCCTTGCATGCCCCTTGTTGGGCGACTCAAGCATCACCCTTTGGGGCATTTCAAGATCAGTCTTCTTTCGGTCTTTTCTTTTAAGGTTCCCTAGCTTCTGCCCTGGCTTGGTGCTCAGTAGGGACCAACCTTCAGAGTGTTGGATTCGAATGAACCAGATTTTGGGATTCCCTTATACCAAGGAAACAAAATGAGATGGATGGCTTTCTTCGGGGTCCTTCCATGAACGGGCAACTACAACAGAAGATTGATCAACCCCCATATGAATATCGAAGGCCCCTAGCTTCTGACCTGGCCTTCTTTTGTTTCATAGACACCAGCCACAGGAAACCTCTGCAGAGGAGATTGGCTTCAAGTACCCCAAAAAGAAACAACAACACGCGATGTCCTCTTTTTTTTCTGCTACATGTTTGCTATATTTTTTGCTACACACAAGCGATGTCTGCTATAATTGTTTTCCCCGCTGTTTTGTTGGATTCTCTCAAAAAAAGGGGGCCTCCGCCGCCATCCTCAGCTCCCGCCGGAGCGAGCCTCCGCGAGCCGCGAGCCGCGTTTGCCTCGGCGCCGGTCCCGCCGCCAGGAGGGCGGGGAGGAGGTGAAGACCTCGGAGCTGCCCGCGCAGGAGGTGCACTTCCTCTGCAAGGCCAGTGACGCGAGGGGAACGCGGGGACGAGGGGAAGCGATGCGATGGGAAGCGAGGAGGGGAAGCGGAGACGCGGAAGAGGAGGGGGGGGGGGGGGGAAGGGGGCGGATTTTTTCTCGCTTTTTACAAAAAGGGGGGGCAGGTGATGCGACGATGCGATGCGATGCATTCGGATCTGAAATGCGATCAAATTTTGTTCCAGAAAAAGGGGGTGGTTTGGAGCTGGGTGCTTTGGAGATGTTCTGGGGGTGTGCACTTTCTCAGCAAGAAGCAAACCATCCAAATCAATCCAAACGCCGATGCTTGATTGAGATGCGGATGCGGAATGATTTCTTTTTGTTTTACTTTTTTGTTTTTTAAGCCTGCGGGGAAGCGACGGAAGCGTAGAAACGGAACCGAGCTCTGAAAAAGGAGACCCGGAAGAGGGGGGGATGTTTTTTTTCTTCTTTTCAAAAGAGGGGGGCCGTTCTTTTTGTTTGTTTGGGACCCCTTTTTGGGCAACGGAACATGTTATATATGTAATATGTCCATGTGTTATTTGTGTTTGAGATTTTTTGGGAGGGGGAGCTCCTCGAAAAAAGGCACACCCAAATGACGGCCTTCTCGATGAAAACGGCCAGTTGTGCGCCCTATACGAAGGAGACAGGCGAGCAACAGGTCCTAGACAATCCGCCAGCAAATGGCGGCGATTAGCGCCAAAAAAAATGAGCAGTCCTAAATCGCTTGGCCCTATGGGTGACTTCCTCCGCTTTGGTTCAATCGGACTGTCATGACCCAAGGCTTCGAGAGAGTGTCTGACACGCCCCTTGGGCGTGTCGATACTAAACGAGATTTTTTTTTGGAAGCCACGAGAGGGATCGAAGTGGAGCATGGTGACATACAGGTTTGCAAAACCACCTGATGCTTCAGCTCTGGATTTCACACCATTCAGCATTTTTTAGCCCCTGCGTTGCACTCTTTCTGCTCCCTTCTGGCGCTCTGAAAGAGGAATCTGCAGCCAAAAGCAAACACGCTGTCATCCTTCTATGGTGCCAAACCGTGGATTTTCTCCATCCACAGTCCTGTTCTTCCAGAGATGGGGCGCCAAAATTTTCCAAAGTGCTGCGGTGGGGCCCCAAGAGAAGACCCACCCCCACAAAATAGGCAAGCATTGGTCACTAAGACACCGCTATTGCAATTGGTCCCTTGACAACCATACCCGATTCAAGCCACCAGTAAAGCAATGGGGGCTACTACAGCCACTGTTTTTACCTAAGTTGCATCATGCAAGTTGCTTCCCCTTGGGCCATTCTTTTAGTGAGAATCGGTTGAACCCTAGGGCATACCAGGGTCGAGCCATCATTTCACCAGGCGCTGAGCGAGAATGCGAATCTCAGAATCTCGGCCGGGCGGACCAAAGGCTTTGCCCCGCGTCATGATATATGGATGTACTGATATACGATATATGACATACCACATACATGTATATATATATATATTATGGATATATATATATATATATACATGTATGTATGTATGCATATATACATCTATGTATATACACATATACATATTTACAGATCATAAATACTATATCACAGATACAGAATATACATCATGCACATACACGATTGTGGTGATGAGCAACGCATACCCACATGTAGAGCTTTTGCCATGTCTGCATTGTTTGCATCGTCTGCGACTCGCTCTGGCAGTTTGTGTTTCACGCTTCAAGATGCGTCTCCGGGTTATAAGCGTGTAACTTGGGGGCGCTAAAGGTTTTAGTCCTACCATACCTCAGTTGTTGCCTTGGTTCAACAGCAGCCTGTTTCCTAAACTTAATTAGGTGTGCTGTGGCTACTCTGGGTCCTGCTGTTTGCCCATCAGCGATATTTTTTGGGGTTGCGCTGAATATCTGACCACTTGGACCGGCAACGTTGTTGGTTGTTCCCTGGGGAGCCCCCAAGGGGTTTTTCCCGGGCCTGACCGGGCGATCGACTTGGCGGTCGGTTCCAAGGCGCCAATAGTTCAATGCAACTGGGATTTTGCAGAAGTTTTGCCACCACTGGCGTTTCCCAAAGTGGTCCCATAAAATGGCAAGGGTGTCTGTCCCTTTCCCCACTCCCCCACACCACCCCCCCCCCCTCATCTACCCCCCACCCAAGCCACCCCCCCACCCCTCCCAAGCCACCCCCCCACACCCACCCCACCAATCCACCCATCCACCTCAGCCCCTATCCACCCCTGCTCCCCCCCATCCCCACCAATCCACCCATCCACCTCACCCCGTATCCACCCCTGCTCCCCCCCCATCCCCACCCACCCACCCCCCCTCATCCACCCCCCATCCACCCCCTGCTCCCCACCCCTCCCATCCACCCCCGCCCACCCCACCAATTCACCATCCACCCCACCATCCACCCCACCCCCTAATTATCCCCCCCTGCTTTTTTCCCCGCACCACCCACCCCACCATCCACCCCACCCCCCCCCCCCATCCACCCCACCCACCCCATCCACGCCCCCCCCCATCCACCACACCCCTCCACCCCAGAAACTCCCTGGCTGAGGAGCGCTCCTCGCCATCAGCGAAGACAAGATGAAGGAGCTGGCGGCCGGAGCGGTGGCGCTGGCTCAATAAAAAGACGATTGGGGGTTACCTCACTTCCTGAGTTCATGAACTTTTGGGAAGACCGTATTAGTGGTAAATATAAAGTTGGACATTTGTTGGGCCATCCACTCAGCAAGTGAGTTATGGGAATGCGAATACATGCATTGTATTGCAATGCACTGAATTCCCGCACAGTACATTACATTGAACTACATTCCATTCCGTTACATTGCGTTACATACACAGTACAATACAATTCAAGACAATACAATACAAATACAATACAATACAATCCAACGCATCACATTACATTACATTACGTTACATTACGTTACGTTGCACTACATTGCATCACAGAGCATTGCATGCGATGCCATGACACGACATCACATTACATTACATCACATTACATCACATTACATTACGTTACATCAAATCACATCACATCACAATACAGTACCTACATATATACATCCTCACCTACCTACCTACATACATACATGCATACGTACGTAAAACATACACACATACATTCATACATTACATTACATTACATTACATTACATTACATTACATTACATTACATTACATTACATTACATTACATTACATTACATTACATTACATTACATTACATTACATTACATTACATTACATTACATTACATTACATAACACACATACACACATACACACATACACACATACACACGTACACACATACACACATCCACACATCCACACACACATACACACACACATACACACATACACACATACACACACACATACACACATACACACATACACACATACACACATACACACCTGCACACATACACACATACCCACATACACACATACACGCATACACACACACACATGCACACATGCGCACATACAGACACATACATGCATACATTCAACTATGTATATATACATTTGCACACATGCATGCATGCAAACACAGGCATACACACACACACGTACGTACGTACGTACGTACGTACGTACATACATGCATACATGCATACATGCATACATGCATACATGCATACATGCATACATGCATACATGCATACATGCATACATGCATGCATGCATACATACATACATACATACATACATACATACATACATACATACATACCTTTATACATGCATGCATACATACATACGTACATACATTTCACACATGCATGCATGCATGCATGCATGCATGCATGCATGCATGCATACATACATACATACATACATACATACATACATACATACATACCTGCAATGGGTACATGCATACATGCATACATGCATACCTACATACATACAAATGCATGCGCACGCAAACACGCATACATATATATATATAGAGAGAGAGAGAACCTTTATTGCCATGTAGAGCCCAATAGTCAACGGGTGTTAGGCGCTTTGGGCCCCTGAGATTGCAATTGAAGGGGTGCTGACTTTCGGACTTTCGGGGAGTGGCCACCTTTTTAAACCACCGACGGGGTTCTTTGGGGGATGTCGCTTGACGGCTCCAGTTGTTTGCCCACCTAAAACACCATACCGAGGTTGGGGGGGACACATGCGTTTGGGCCAATATGTTCATTAACGGGGCGCGGGGGAAGGAGGGTTCTGCTTGGGAAGAGGAAGCCGATGTGAAAACCATTTGGGGATAGGTGTTCGTGGGTTTGGCTGAAGCTCGATGGGCTGGTAGTTCGGTTCTGGCAGTCCCTGAATTTCTCTTTTTTGGGCCTAAAGTGGCAGTGTTATTGGAAGCCATCGGTAAACTGCCAAGCTTTGATTCGGGGACTCCGGTGACCCCAGTCTGGTCATTCAGCATTCTACCTAGAGTCTCCATGACCCTTATGGGTCCATGACCCCTTAATTTGGGAAATGACCCCATTTTGTAAGGGTCATGGAGACTCCAGATATTGGTTTACAAGGGAAGCATTTTCCATGAAGCCATGGAGGGATCGGATGTGTCAGGGATTTGTGACCTGGTCGCTGTCGCTTTTAGCAGCTGGCGGAGCCGTTCAATTCGAGGAGTCGCTTTTGGAGATGCCATTGCAAATGAGTGTGTCTTTTGGCAAAACATGGATAGTCAGTCAATCCGCCAGTCATTTCAGTGGACCCGGCTGCAAAACACAAACCATAGGATTCTTAGGTGATGCGAAATGGATTTCGCAACCATCCGCAGTAGAGGCAAGCTGCGCAACCCCAGGTTCTCACACATGTGAAGAAGGGCTCCACCATTGTGTGCCTCGGCTGCCAAGCCTTTTCGCTCGCGACTGGCGACGAACAGTTCGTCGAGCGACAGGAAATTGGTTTCGTTTCAGAAACAGCCTGAGTTGGTGAACTTCATTTTTCCCCAGCGGCTGCCAGGGTTTCCTCCATTTCCCTGTTTGGAGCCTCCAACACAGGCGATGGTTTCAATGGAAGCTACCGCCAATTGCAACCTTTGAAGGGGAATCCAGTCTTTCTTCAGTGGGTTTGGGGTGGCCATAGCGCATTAGCTTGGCGGATTGGCGGATTGGCGGATTGGTTCTGGGAAGTTCGGCGGAGTTTTTTTTGTTGAGGCTTTGAAAGCAGATAGCTTTTTGTTTGTTTCGTTTTCCCCGGTACTTCTTCTTTTCTTTGGGGGTACCCTCCCGTCCACTAACATGGAACCTGCCTAAGGCTGCCTAAGGGGTGCTTGGAAGACTATTTTCCTTTTCAAGGGTCCCTCTGATGGGTCATGTTAGTGGACAGCAGGGTCTGCTTCTTTAAGGGGGGGGTCAAAGGGCAACCACAAGGAAAGCTACTGTTATTTTTTCTTGGTCGGGGGGTCTCCTCAAACAAGACACACCCATAATATCTCTCCGTTTTCGCAAAACCCACAGTTCAGAATCCCTTCCCCAGCAAACCCCTTTCGACATACTGACAAACTAAATGGGGTGTTTGTGGATTTCTGCACTGGTTTTCGGGGCAAAGGCATCTCGCTGAATACAAGCGGTACAAGGAGCAGTAATTTCCCATAACACTTGGGCCGACCTTCAATTGCCCAAGGTTGCTGAAGGGGGAAGTGGGTTGGCCAGAACTCCTCTACCCAAGTTTTGTCATGCCATGACCACCATGTTCACCTCGGAATTTGTTCTTGGCAGGAAAATGAAGCTAAAGAAAGATATGTATTAATTGTGCCACGAGCAAATACATCAGTTTCATTACAACATATTTGGATCCACCATAATGCTGGATCCACTAAGACATGTTTGCGGCATGATTTTAAGATTTGGGGTTGGGCGCGAGGGCCGAACACTGCCTGCAGAGCTGTTGGAATAAACCACCCCCTAACAACCTGACCCATGAAACCAAGAACACCGACCCAACACAACCCCAAAAAAGGAAAATTACCTTCCAAGGCAGCTCCTCTTTGCAACGATGGCAGTGGACGATCGGCGGGTCTTGGAAGACGAAGGCCATCCCTTTGAAAGGCCCGAACCGTCCACTTCTATAATAGGAAAGAGATAAATTTGTGCCCAGTGCTTCCAGTTACCACTATAGTAGGTAACAAGGAATTTTCCCATGATGTCAACCTAGAGGTAGCCATACTGAAGGATTGTCTAAGCCTTTCATGTTGGCTTCCACCCTTCCTCAGGCACACCACCTATCCAACTCGCCCTTTTTTCCTGGGAAGCTGAATTTTCTGGGAGCCTCAAAAATGATGCTCGGTTTTCCTTGTTGGCTTCAAGGGAAAACCAACAAAGGACGCTTCACCCCCCAATGCAAAACCTGCACCCCGCCGCATGCGGACGTTTTCCAGGGACACTGGGCACGTGGTGCGCCAAATGGCCATCATCAAGTCGGGCACGGTGGCTGCACCGTGGCCGTAATCGATTTGTCCCCAGTGATAGCGCGAAATCTGATCTCAAGATTAGAAGTTGGATTGGAACGGTTCGCTGAATTCTTGCCTTGCGACTGCAGGCAGAGCTTTTTCCATCTCTCACATAATCACCAGCTGTGCAGTGCAGGCATTCATACTTGAGAAGGGAATGTGGTGATTTATGACACTCTCGTAGGGAGCACTATCATAATTGGACAATTAGATGTAAACCGCTGTAAGCCTATGAAGATTCCAGACATAACTTGTAACAACATAGTAATTCCAAGCTCCAAGTAAAGAAACCAACACTCCAAACATGTTTTGTGATCCGTGCTTCTTCTCACTCCCTGAGTTGGGCTCTAGTGGTACACCATTTGGTTTGGTGACTTCTGGCCAACCCACTGGATTGGTGAGATTTGGAACACATCACGGTAGACTCATGGGCCTTAACAAGCCCTTATTAGCTGATTCAGAACTGAACCAGGGATCATTTGGGCCCCCCGCCCTCCCCCCCCCCCCCAGCCCCCATGATATAAGCAAAGAGAACCAAACTGAGTCCGACCTAAAACAATGCCCTCAGCCGGGGGGTTGAACCCATACTGTTTCCGCCCGCATCGTGACTCATCGTGAAGGCAGGGGTCAGCTCAGTGTGGAATGAGGGAATGCCCCTTATAAACCATCCAACTGGTGGTTTCCTTTCAGGGGACCAAAGCATTCCCATCAAGAACCCTACCTCTCGCACCGATCGCAAGATTATCTTTGTCTCTTTGGAGCTACCTGCAACGTCAAGGGCTGAAATTGGGACATGCAGTGCTGCAGGGCTTTATTTTAGGTTTTCACCAGGAACGTCTCCCAGTTGAGCCGACTCTGACAACCTTCCCATTTGGACCTCTTGCAGGGCTCAAAAACAGTGACTGACTCCTTTGTGGCGAAGCCAACCATCTGGTCCCTTAGCTCTTTAGACCTATTTAGTTGGCTTAGTGGTTGGTTTTCCGAATTTAACCCACTAAAAGCTCGAAAAACGTTTCGCAGAGCTGAAAACGCATGGCGCCCTCGCTCTCTGACGAGTCTGGTAGCGGACCGGGCAGCGGGCTTTGAGGCAGTGGTGGAATCAGATCATCACCACGGGGGGCATCAGTCGGTTCCCCGGCCAAATGATTTCGCGCCAATCGGCGGAGCGGAGGGAAGCTGCGGATGGTGCCCAACACTGGATGGGCGCAAAAGGGGGCGCTGTTCTAGGGGTTGATTCCTTTTCCATTTTTTTCAACCATGGTTCTTTAAAAAAAACCGGCTGTCTCATCCATAATTCAGGTGTGGGTCAAAATTAAACCACCAGGGGAAGGCCTGTTTTAGTCATGGGTCCCATTTACCGGGGGTTCCAATTTGGGTACCCATGTTTGACCCACAGCCATCGAAAAGGGGGGCCCAGACAAAGGGGCGCTGTTGCTGGGTCGGCTCAAAGCGCCTACAGTTTGAGGGGTTCTCAAAACTTCTTTTGGGGGTGGGAAACCCATTGTGAGTGTGTTGAGGATGCCAGGTTGATGGAACCAGTTTGTTCCCATGGCCACAGCACTCCCACACTTTTGTTTACTTTATTTTCATATTTCCTTATCCCTTTCTATATCTTCTGGAAGTAACTTGTCCACGGTCTCTCTCTCTTCTTTTTCTTTCTTTTCTTTTATTATTGATTCATGAGATTTATTATTGGTGGTGAGGAAAGAGGGGATAAATGATGGTGAAAGAAACATGCCATCATATCCCTTCCTTTCCCATCCCTTGACCAAGCCATAGAATAGAGGCTTGGAGGTGTAAGGGATGGCATAGCTTCATTCATAATATTTGGATTGTTTGGAATGAAGATATGATGAATGAGGATGGATTTCTTGTCAGCCATTACCTTCCTCTTCCTCCATTTCTCCTCTCTCCGTTCGGATTCAAGTTGAGGACAGAGGACGAGACAAGGATCCATTCCTTTCCATCTTCATTCCTTTGCATTTCCAGGAGTTACACCAAATGCAAAGATAAAAGGGATGAAGATAAAGAAATTATGAAACTATTTCTCTTTCATATTGTATCTCCTAGAATTATTCTTGGCAGTTATTTTGAAGAGTCTTATTTGGAGGTGATAGAGAGTCCTAAGGATGGATCCGGTGACTGCCAGGAAGCATATTCTGAGGTCTAACCGTTGGCTGTCATTCCATCTTCCTCCTCCATCTGTTCGCGAGATATCTTCAGGAACAGAAAGGAAAGACAAATGAGCGAGGAATGACCATAAGATCTAGAATTATAAAATATTTGTCATTCCTCTTTCCCATGCCTTTCCTCATCCTTTCGTCTATGACATGGAAGGATAGGGAAAGGGACATGATATTCCTTCTCCATTCTATTTTCATATTTAATAACTTGAAGAAGGAATATGAAAGAGAAATAACCATTCCCAATCCATCTTTTTATCTCTTTATTATTTGGATTTGGAATTATCCCTTTCCTTTTCATGTTCAATTAGAATTATAATAAAATGAAAAGAGGAATAAAGAAAGACACCCACTCCCTTCTATCCACTGTTGATGATTGATAGGCTTGGAAGTGGACAGGTGGGAAGGGGCTGTGTGTATATTGGATGGTTTTATGATTGACACCTTTCCCTGTCACCTGGTAACCCTCTCTACCTTGGGATTTGGAATGGGACGGTTGACGAGATGACAGCTTGCTATGGGTCTATCTCCTGTCAGCCGTCTTCCAGCATCTAGAATCCATCCCGCCTCGTCTTCTCTGGGCATGAAGGGATGGGGAAGTGGGTTTGTGGATAGAGAGTCTTGGCATACAGTCTATTCAAGGATTTCCTGCATTCATAACTTGTCTTTTCCTTCTCTTGGAAGTCTTTTATTTGCAGCTTGTCCATGAGATCCAAGATAATGGCGGTTACATGTCAAGTCTCAGAAAGTAAAATAAGTTCCAGAATTCTTTCCTGTGTACTTCTTTCCCCTTCATCTCACTCATCCAAATCCAGGATGTGGGATGAGATGAAGAGATGGGAAAGAGAGGACAGACAGGTGAAAGGGTGATAGGTGACATCTCTTTCTCTCGGTCACCTCTCCCTTTCATATCTCTCTCTTTCCTTCACTCGTCATTCCATTCCCAATCCAAATGATAGACTGTAAATTAAAGTTCCGAATGAAAAGACAAAGAAGAAATCCACAAAGAAACATTCCAAGAGATACAAATAAAAGAAAGGACATGATATATTTGTATCTGTCCATTTCTCTTTTATTTTCAAGTATTAATATTGGTTGAGGACGTTTCCTTCCGTCGCTTCTATCGTTTATCCTCATCCATAATAACCGACGGGAAAGGTCCTGAACTAACCTACAAACACAATCCAAATAACCATAATAAAAGCAAACTAAAATAATTAAATAAAGATAAATAAAGATAATTTGCTTTTCTTTTGGTTACATTCCTTTCGTATCTTTGCTTTTCTCCGTCTCGCGGTTATTCCAAGAGCTACCGAAGGGACGAAGAAAGGTCAAGGATTTTACAGATAAACCTCTCCGTTCCTCTTCTTTTGGTTACCTCGTCCACACGGCAGTGCGAAAGGCAAATCTCTTAACACAAAAGAGGCATGTGTCAACTCCATACACCCACGAAATGGCTGGCTTCATTATTGGTTTCTCTCCAGAAAGCCGTCCCCGAATAAACTTTTGGCACAGCCAAACAGCAACCTAAAGGACGGACAAAGAGACTCCCAGAGTTTGCTTGAGACGACACACTCCCCACTTTTTTGCATGAAGGCTTCGGTTAACAAAAGGATTACTACGCATGGCGTTTGTGTATGGCATTCTTGAATTTCATGTGGGTGTGTCTCAAAATAAGGGCCCATTAACATTGGGTGGCTTTCCTTTTGTTTCCCTTCAAACCCAGCCCGAGAGGAGTACCCTCCAAAAAAGACACCACGCCGCAGTGGCCTTGTGTTCGTTTCCATTCGAATTTCCAAGGCGCATGTCTAGCATTGGTGCAGCTTGTTTCGCCACAGTTCATGGCGGACGCTGCCGCTTATCCAAATTTCATGTGTGTCAGGGCTCAACAAAAAAGCAACCATTCCACGGAATCAGGGTTGCTTTCGATGTGATCCTGTACTGGGTTCGTTCATCGAAGCTTCTCATCTCGAAGATGTTAGGAGCCTTATGGGACTGGCCCTTTGTTTGCTTCTTTCGTGATTTTCCTCATTTCCATAGGTTCTTCACCCAAGCACCCGGCACAAAGAAAAACATCACGGGCCCCCACCCGACCAACCAACCAGCCAACCAACCAACCAACCAACCAACTAACCAACCAACCAACCTACCTACCTACCAACCTACCAACCTACCAACATATCAACCTGCCCTACCAACCTACCAACCTATACCAACCTATACCAACCTATACCAACCTTATACCAACCTATACCAACCTATACCAACCTATACCAACCAACCTACCAACCTACACCAACCAACCTACCAACCTACCAACCTAAGGACCTGACAAGCTACCAAGCTGCAAAGCTGCCAAGCTACCCACCTACCAACCTACCAACCTACCACCCTACCAACCTACCAACGTACCAACCTACCAACCAACCAACCTACCCGCCTACCAACCTACCGACCTGCAGACCTACCGACCTACCGACCTACCAACCAACCAACCAACCAGCCTACCGACCTACCAACCTACCAACCTACCAACCTACCAAGCTACCAACCTACCAACCTACCAACATACCAACATACCAAGCTACCAACCTACCAACCTACCAACCTACAAACCTACCAAGCTAGCAACCTAGCAACCTAGCAACCTAGCAACCTACCAACCTACCAGCCTACAAACCTACCAACATATCAACCTGCCCTACCAACCTACCAACCTATACCAACCTATACCAACCTATACCAACCTATACCAGCCTTATACCAACCTATACCAACCTATACCAACCAACCTACCAACCTACAACCAACCAACCAACCTACCCACCTACCAACCTACCGACCTGCAGACCTACCGACCTACCAACCAACCAACCAACCAACCTACCAACCAACCAACCTACCAACCTACCAAGCTACCAACCTACCAACTTACCAACCTACCAACATACCAAGCTACCAACCTACCAACCTACCAACGTACAAACCTACCAAGCTATCAACCTAGCAACCTAGCAACCTAGCAACCTACCAACCTACCAACCTACCAACCTACAAACCTACCAAGCTAGCAACCTAGCAACCTAGTAACCTACCAACCTACCAACCTACCAACCTTATACCAACCTATACGAACCTATACCAACCTATACCAACCAACCTACCAACCTATACCAACCAACCTACCAACCTACCAACCTAAGGACTTGACAAGCTACCAAGCTGCAAAGCTGCCAAGCTACCCACCTACCAACCTACCACCCTACCAACCTACCAACCTACAAACCTAGCAACCTAGCAACCTAGAAATGTAGCAAGCTAGCAACCTACCGACCTACCAAGCTACCAACCTACCAACTTACCAACCTACCAACCTACAGTACCACCCACCAACCTACCCACCTACCAACCTACCGACCTGCAGACCTACCGACCTACCAACCAACCAACCAACCAGCCTACCGACCTACCAACCTACCAACCTACCAACCTACCAACCTACCAACCTACCAAGCTACCAACCTACCAGCTTACCAACCTACCAACCTACCAAGGTACCAACCTACCAACCTACCAACCTACAAACCTACCAAGCTAGCAACCTACCAACTTACCAACCTACCAACCTACCACCCACCAACCTACCCACCTACCAACCTACCGACCTACCAACCTACCAGCCTACCAACCTGCCAACCTACCTACCAACCAACCTTCCAACCTAAGGACCTACCAGCCTACCAACCTTTCCACGCTTCCGCTTTTTCCAGGCAGAAGCGGCGGTGGCCAGCTCCACTATGGCGGAGCGGATGCTGCGGAAGCAAAACTTTCTGGCGCAGCTCCAGCGGAAAGAGCCGCCTGTCTTGCGGGCGGCCGGGCGGGCGGGCCGGCGGGTGGGCGGGTAGGTGGGTGGGGTGGGTGGGTGGGTGGGGCTGCTGGGCTTATCGGAAAAATGAGAAAGCGAATTGTGGGGTTCAAAGAAGAGATGGGCCTTCCTCACAAGATAGGGCCAGATTTTTTCTGAAGCAGACGGAAGAGGTTTTTCAGACTGATAGCTTCGAATGGTTTGCTGCGGACAGAGCCGGGCCCTTCCCTGTCTCGGTAGGTGGGAAGCCAGGCAGGCGGGAACCAAAAGATGAGATTTGAAGGACATGATTTAGGGGTTCTCAACAGTTTTATTTTATTATTTTTTTGCGGGGGGGGGGGGGGGATAACCACTGTTTATAGTGAAATCTTGAGGAAGCGATGTTGATGGCTCATGGTCAGATACCCCTTTCATTGGTGGTTTGGGGGTTTGAACCCCAGTTTAGATTGAAGCCATATGGGAAAGGTTTCCCCTCCATGTCCAGAACCACCAAATAGGGGTAAGATGACTACTAGCTGTTGGTTGGAAGGGAGCCGTTCCGGAGGGGGATCCAAATTTCATCTCGCAAAAAGGGAGCCTGTCGGACTTACCACGAGATCTCCGGGTGGTTCTCAGCCATCCCCTTAGGTTCGTGTTTGCTTTTTCGGGTTTAGTGGTAGTTTCCAATGAACCACTCTCAATCTTTAGCAGGGGATTTGGGAACAGCCCAATTCTGTAACATGATAGCCACAGGATTCGCATAAACAGCCTTCATTTTGGAACTCAGGAAGAGCACGACCACGGCGTCTTTGTTCGCCCGGGACCCGACCGATTCGAGGACCGATTCGAGGACCGATTCGGGGACCGATTCGTGGACCGATTCGGGCTTGGATATGGCAAATGCCTTGCAACAAATCATGTGTTTACAAACACACCCAGTGCTTCCAGGTGTTTCGCCACTATAGTAGGTAACCAGAGGAAACCACTCATGGTACAACCTAGAGGTAACGATTTTGAAGTGTTACCTACTATGGTGGCGAAACGCCAATCGGAAGCACTGGGTCTGATTCAATAGTGAACCCTGCGCGATCCTTACCATACCATGGATGGCTTGGTTTCCTACAGAATGACACACAAACTACTAACCTCTAGGATCAAGGCACCCATAAACTGAGCATGATATCAGTATTGCTTCGCTCGACCGGGGTTATGAAGTTCATCACACATGTGTTTTTCTGGCGAGCTCACCGATTTGGGGATATCACGGGCGAACGCCATGATAAAGCTTGATCGAGTTCCCGTCTTTCCGGACCTCAACATAATGCAAGAATCCTTCCTTCCGGTAGAACCCGAATGGAGCACAACAACATCAATTGCTACCTTCCCTGCCCCACCAGGTATGGAAAACGAGATTTGTCGCCATTTTGAGGGGCCCCCCGTTTTAAGACACACCCGCATGGGTGTGTCTAGTTTAGGGCACACCCCAAAATGGCGGTTCTCCTTCGGGGTTTCCTTTCAAACCCATTGAAACCTCGGAGCGCCCCCTCCAAAAAAAAAGGGAATCGAGCACGACGTGCCCGTCTCTCTCTCTCTCGGTGCCTAGCACCAAGGTGGGCGGAACGCTGCAGAACCTGAAGCCGGATCTGCACCCAGGCTCGTGATGGTGGCTCGGTTCAGGGCCGGTCGGCCAGAAATGGTTGCGGATCTCCGCCTTAGTGATGGTGACTCATTTGGGGGTTTGGGGCTGATCCAAAATTTTGGGTGGGGCTCGGGATCCACGAGACATGATCAAGCTCCACCCTCCCCTCCAAAAAACGAGCCCCAGCAAGCAGTGCCCTGTCTCACCCTTTTTGGTACCCTTTTTGGTTGGGAGGGTTCCCCTACTAAAATAGACGACAGAAAAAGGGTACCCGAATTCTAACCTCTCAACTGGAGGACCTAGGAAAGAAACGGTGATGTTGGGGGTATATCATGGGCTACTTCAGAGTCTCTTTGCCCTGATTTGGGGGGCAAGATTCAGGTGAACGTCTGGTAGCCATTTTCCTTGGAGGAATTTTGTTGGGAAAAAAAGAAAGCTGGAAGACAATGGAAGAAGCACTGGAGTGCTACTGGAATGTCAATGGAATTGTCCTTGGTGGGAAGAAAGGCCAGAGCTAGGTCCCCCCTTTAAAGTACAATTGGCAAAGTGGAGTTGGAATGCTCTGGGGTCGAGGGCCAACAAATTGGAAGTTCATTGAAGTTTCAGTGGAAAGGGCATCTTCAAGTAAACTAACTTCCAATGCCTTTCCATTGACAATCCAATGACACTCAGGAGTCAAGTTGCGCTGGAACGCAGCTGGAACATACGTCAATGCATTCATGCATGCGTGCGTGCGTGCGTGCGAAGTACATACTATACAGAAGTCCATACTACGTTGATACGCACATATGTACATACGTACATAAGTCTTTAAGTACATGCGTACGTAAATAGGTACATACGTACGTTCATACGTAGATATTTGTACATACGTACATAAGTGTTTAAGTACATACGTTCGTAGACACGTAAATACGCATATACATATGTAAATACGTACATACGTACATACGTAGCACACGTAACGTACAGACGTACATACGTACATGCGGTACATACAGTACAGCATGGATACAGATTGACAAGCAGATTGAGCTGGACAGTTGAGCTGCTGCAGGGGTTTGTGGTCCAGGGAATTTGCCGACTTTTGAGAAAGGAATTTAGGGCGGAGCTCGATGAACTTTCGGCGGAATTTCACAGGAACACCATTGCAGTTTTGCAGGGTCACGTTGAAACGACCCTCTTTGAACCATCCTATGATGCTCCCAAATGGTACGAAGGTAACCCCCCCTCTCTTACCAGGGCAATCCCCGCAAAAAAGCAAGCGTGATTTACTTCTCCTCTTACCAGGGTCACTGGGTAACCTGGCGGAGTATTAGGTGCAACGCCCCCAAAAAAGTGATCCGGATCCCCTCCAAGACAGGTCTATGTCCCCCAGTAGTGCCCTTTACCAACTTTTTTGGTTTGGAGGGTTCCTCTACTAAAATAGACAAAACAGAAGAAAACAAGTTGGCACCCTCATTCTAACCTCTCTACTGGAGGACGTAGAGGTTGCATCAGTGAGAAAATCAAGCCGCCCCGGAAAAGGATGCTGATCCTGCTCCCACTCTCGGATGGTTACGTCACCTTTGTCAGCAAGTGAGCTTCCTCTCGATGTTTAAAGGAGCAATATGGCTATTGGTCAAAACCCCGTACCCCCCAGTGAACATCCCACTCCCCCCTAAAATAGACTAAAATGGGTGGTGCACCTATCCCAAAATGGTAGCATTGGTTTTAACCCATGGCCATATGAGCTTGTCTTTTTTGGTTTCCCTTCTTGCATTTCTGTGAAGTTCCTTTCAGTTCCCATTTTCTGGTATTACCCTTCATACCATTTTATTTCCCTTGCTTTCGCTTAGTTTCCCTTCATGTCCTTTCACTTCCCTTCATTTCCCATCATTCCCCTTTATTACCCTTCCTTACCTTTCATTTCCCTTCATTGCCCTTCATCATCCTTCATCACCCTTTCTTGCCCTTCATCTCAACCAATTTTCCCTTCATGTCCTTTCACTTCCCATGTCATTTCCATTCCGCTGGCTCCCTCCCCATCCCCCCCAAAAACGCCCAACACTAAAAAGGCCCCCCCAAACAACTCCCAACACAACCCCCAACATGAGTGGTTTCCTTTCGGCTTCCCTTCCAAAAAAGGGCCCACCAAAAAAGAAAAGAGCCCAAGAAGCGAACCCCCCGGAATGATGATCGGTTTTCCCCCTTGGCTTCCCTACTGGAACCCCCCAGAAATGATGGCTTTCCCCCCGCGGCCTTCCCTTGTGCACCTGTCTGTACCGTGGGGCATCTACTGTGCCCAAAGGGCACGGGTGGCGGCACGGTGCCGATCCGCGTCACGCGTCAGGCGGACGGGTGCAGCCGCGCCAGGGATTTGCGAACAAGAACCGGCGCAGCCACGCCACAGGCGGGGCCTTCCTTTCCTTTGGTGCATAGGTTACGAGAGCCTATCGAGTTGTTGGTTGTGCTGTTTGTTCTGTTCGTTTGTTGGCTTGGTGGATTGTGTTGTTTCCTTTGTTTGTTGGTGTGTTGGTTTCCTTTGGTTGTTCTCTTTGTTCTCTTGGCTTGTTGGTTTGGTGGATGGTTTTGTTTCTTCTGTTTGTTGGTTCGTTGGATTGCGTTGTTTGTTCTCTTTGTCGTGTTGGTTTGTTGGTTTGGTGGATTGTTTTGTTTCCTCTGTTTGTGGGTTTGTTGGATTGCTTTGTTTGTTATGTTTATCATGTTGGTTTGTTTGTTTGGTGGCTTGTTTTGTTTCCTCTGTTTGTGGGTTTGTTGGATTGCAGTGTTTGTTCTCTTTGTCATGTTGGTTTGTTGGTTTGGTGGATTGTCGTGTTTCTTCTGTTTGTTGGTTTGTTGGTTTGCTTTATGAGTTATCTTTGTTCTGTTCGTTTGTTGGCTTGGTGGATTGTTGTGTCTCTTCTGTTTGTTGGTTTGTTGGTCTGCTTTGTTTGTTCTCTTTGTCATGTTGGTTTGTTGGTTTGGTGGATTGTTTTGTTTCTTCTTTGTGTTGGTTTTTTGTTTTTTATCGTCTGCTTTGTTTGTTCTTTTCTTTTTTCTGTTCGTTTGTTGGTTTGGTGGATTGTTTTGTTTCCTTTGTTTGTGGGTTTGTTGGATTGCTTTGTTTGTTCTGTTTATCATGTTGGTTTGTTTGTTTGGTGGCTTGTTTTGTTTCCTCTGTTTGTGGGTTTGTTGGATTGCGTTGTTTGTTCTCTTTGTCATGTTGGTTTGTTGGTTTGGTGGCTTGTTTTGTTTCTTCTGTTTGTGGGTTTGTTGGATTGCTGTGTGTGTTCTCTTTGTCATGTTGGTTTGTTGGTTTGGTGGATTGTCGTGTTTCTTCTGTTTGTTGGTTTGTTGGTTTGCTGTTTTTTTTTTATTATCTTTGTTCTGTTCGCTTGCTGGTTTGGTGGATTGTTTTGTTTCTTCTCTTTGTTGGTTTGTTGGTTTGCTTTGCTTGTTCTCTTTGTCATGTTGGTTTGTTGGTTTGGTGGATTATTTTGTTTCTTCTCTTTGTTGGTTTGTTGGTTTGCTTTGCTTGTTCCCTTTGTTCCCTTTGTTCTGGTTTGTTGTTCTTTTTTTTCTGTTGGTTTGTTGGTTTGGTGGATTGTTTTGTTTCTTCTGTTGGTTGGTTTGTTGGTTTGCTTTGTTTGTTCTTTTTGTCCGGATTGTTAGTTTGGTGGATTCTATTGTTCTTCTGTTTGTTGGTTTGTTGGTTTGCTTTGCTTGTTCTCTTTGTTCTGTTCGTTTGTTGGTTTGGTGGATTGTGCTGTTTCTTCTGTTTGTTGGTTTGTTGCTTTGCTTTGTTTGTTCTCTTTGTTCTGTTGGTGGGGTGGATTGTTTTGCTTCTTCTGTTTGTTGGTTTGTTTTGGTCTTTGTTTGCTTTCGTTTTTTTTTTTTTTTTTTCTGTGTGTTTGGTGTTTTTTTTTTGTTTCTTCTGTTTGTTGGTTTGGTGGATTCTTTTGTTTCTTCTGTTTGTTGGTTTGGTGGATTCTTTTGATTCTTCTGTTTGTTGGTTTGTTGGTTTGTTGGTTTGCTTTGTTTGGTTTGCTCTGTTTGTTATGTCGGATTGCGCTGTTTGTTTGTTTGTTTGTTTCTTTGTTTCTTTGTTTTTTTCCCTAACAGCTGAAAGCTTTGGGGTCTCAGCCCAGATAGGGTTCGGGGTGGTCCGGGGCGGCCCTGAGGCAAGGTTCCACGAGGGTTCCACCACAATTCCACCAGGGTTCCACCAGGTTCTGCGAGGGCTGCGGGGTGGTCCGGGGTGGTTTGAGGTAAGGTTCCGCGAGGGTTGCACCAGGGTTCCACCAAAGTTCCACCAAAGTTCCACCAGGGTTCCACCAGGTTCTGCAAGGGCTGCGGGGTGGCCCGGGGTGGTTTGAGGTAAGGTTCCACGAGGGTTCCACCAGGGTTCCACCAAGTTCTGCAAGGGCTGCGGGGTGGTCCGGGGTGGTTTGAGGTAAGGTTCCACGAGGGTTGCACCAGGGTTCCACCAAGTTCTGCAAGGGCTGCGGGGTTGTCCGGGGTGGTTTGAGGTAAGGTTCCACCCGGATTCCACCAGGGTTCCACTAAGTTCTGCAAGGGCTGCGGGGTGGTCCGGGGGTTGAGGTAAGGTTCCACGAGGGTTCCACCAGGGTTCCACCAAGTTCTGCAAGGGCTGCGGGGTTGTCCGAGGTGGTTTGAGGTAAGGTTCCACCCGGATTCCACCAGGGTTCCACCAAGTTCTGCAAGGGCTGTGGGGTGGTCCGGGGTGGTTTGAGGTAAGGTTCCACAAGGGTTCCAGAGGGTTAGAAAAGTTGTGAAGGGCTGAGGGGTTGTGCGGGGTGGTTTGAGGTAATGTTCCACCCGGGTTCCACCAGATTTTCACCAGGTTTTGCAAGGGCTGCGGGGTGGAGCAAGGTCTGCAAGGTTTGGTTCCATGAGGGCTTTGAGGTAAGGTTTTACAAGGTTCCACAGAGTTCCGCAAGGATCCCACAAAAGTTCCACAAAGCTCCACAAGGCTCCACAAAACATTCCCTGCGGGGAAGCAATGTGTCACCGGAGCAGTAAATTGAGGGCTCAGAAGATCGCTTTGCTCATGGGCGGAACACCGCGGAACACTAAGCAAAACCGGAGTCAATGGTTTTCAGCACACTTTCACTGTTTTGTGGCAAATTAGACCACGCTGCTGCGGGACTCACTGCTGCGAATGTATTACTTGGTGGGCTTTGGGTTCCAAGAGTTCCACAAGGCTGCGTGGGTAAGGTTCCAAGAGCGCAGAACCTGTTTCCAACAAAGTTTCACGCTGAGTTGGACGAGGGTTTTATGAGGACGGTTTGCGAGGTTCACGGGGCCCAGGTCGGGGCCCGATTGCACCGTCGGGGCCCGATTGCAGCGTGGGGCCCGATTGCACCGTCGGGCCCCGATCGGGGCCCAGCTCAGTTGGCCCCGTCAACTGTACCAAGCTAGCATCGCCTAGCTTTGCTAGGTACAGTTGTAAGGCCACGTTGAGCTTGGCTGGGGTTGGTGGGATTGCACCGTCGGGCCCCGCTCGGGCCCCGATTGCACCGTCGGGCCCCGCTCGGGCCCCGATTGCGCTGTCGGGCCCCGATCGGGCCCCGATTGCGCCGTCGGGCCCCGATCGGGCCCCATTGCGCCGTTGGGCCCCGATCAGGGCGCGATTGCGCTGTCACTCTTTGCTTTAAAATACTTTACAAAGTTACAAGGCGGCATCCTCAGCAAAACCGGGTGCTGTTGGGGATATCGCCTGAGCTTATTATTTCTTTGTTTCTTTGTTTGAGTGTTTTTGTTGTTTGTTTGCTTGCCTGTTTGCTTGCCTGTTTGCTTGCCTGTTTGTTTGTTTGTTTGTTTGTTTGTTTGTTTGTTTGCCTGTTTGTTTGTTTGATTGTTTGTTTGTGTATTTGTTTGTTTGTTTGTTTGATTGTTCGTTTTTTGTTTGTTTGTTGTTTGCTTTTTGTTTGTTTGTTTGTTTGTTTGTATGTTTGTTGCAATGGTATTGATACACGAGTTGTCGTTTTTGGCATTTCATTGCAGTCCACTCAATGCCATGCCATGGCCTGCCCTTCCTTTACTCACTGCATTCATATGCATGCATGCATGCGTTCGTTTGTTCATTCATCCATCCATTGATCCATGCATGCATGTATTCACTCACTCACTCACTCCTTCCTTCATTCCTCCCTTCCTTCCTTCCTTCCTTCCTTCCATCAATCATTCATTCATTCATTCATTCATTCATTCATTCATTCATTCATTCATTCATTCATTCATTCATTCATTCATTCATTCATTAATTCATGCAGTTCTTCCTTCCATCCTTCATTCTTTCCTCCCTTCTTTCTTCAAGCACGCACGCACGCACGCAAAGTAACGCACGCACGCACGCACGCAGTCAACACTATGGTGCTTGTAATGTTGATTTGTGATGTGTTTTCTTGTTTTTGCGTGTTCAGTTCTGTTGATGGTTGCTTTTTGTGTGGCAGGGGCTACCAAGAATTGGTGACCGAGATCGAACATTCAGATTCAGCGTTACGTTAATAGTTTGTGGTCAAGTGGTGGTGCTCAATGTGCCTGGGTGCGAGAAATCAGCAAGGCTCCGCCGTGTTTGTTTCTTTTTCGGCGTTCGGTTGGCTTTGCGCTTGTTGGTGCGCATGGTACGCAGGGAGACCAATCAGCTCAACTGTATGGTGCCACGTGTCTGGAGTTCCCATGTCCCTTGAACATCGGGTCGTTGCCCTCCAACAAAGGCTCATGGCGACATGGTACAAAATGGCCAGTTGTCGGGGAGCACAGCTTGCCCACTTGCAACGTTCAGGCAACATATCTTTTAAACATGCGCAGGCCGCCATCCGGAGAGAAAGGGTTCCGGTGGATTTTTCCTAGTGGCACTGGGACGGTTTTGTGTTCTTCGTGCGGTCCCGAGTGATTTTCCTTGCAAGGGTGATTTTCCTCTTGACATGATGTTGGGGGAGGTAGATGGGCAAGTCTTTCTTTAGACCCCCCAAAATGGCGGTTTCCCTGTATGTCCCCTTTGAAACCCGACCCAAAACGGGTACCCTCAAGAAAAAGACTTCCCCATAGGGTTTTTTCTGACCCGAAGGAGCCCAGGCACGCGGGCGTCGGTTTTTTGGGATGCGAACCAAGACCCCAAAGTGGTGGTTCTCCTTTGGGCTTTTCCTTGTAAAGCACAAGAAAAGCAAAAAAAACAATCAAGGGGTACCCTCTAAAAAGAACACATCCCAATCACCCCCAATGATGTCGATCAAAGGGCGCCTATTTCATCATGGAATCAGGTTCTGGGTTGTCACGGGACCGGAGATCTAGTGACTTCAAGAGGTCCGTTTCGCTTCGGGACACCCGAACGCCCACCTTCTTGGGAGGGGACGAACCCATGTGGTGTGTGTGTGTGTGAAAACATATCGGATCCCCCAAAACTCTAGACCCGCTGGATTTCCAACACAACTGGGTCCGTCAGTTAGGACACCAGAAAGCACTACCAAGCTCGAGGGAAATGGCTACGTGCCCTATCATACCCCCCCTTTTATACCCCAACCACCCTCAATATACTTCTCTTAAGTTGCGTTTTCTTTGCGGTCTCCCATCGGTTTCCCATCGGTTTCCCATTGGTTTCCTTCGATCTCCCTTCGGTTTCCTTTCGGCTTCCCTTTCAAGAACCCCCAGAAGGATACTTGATACTCTTTCATTTGCTTAGTATTTTTGTTTCCCTGTTGGTTTTAAAGGGAATCTATCACTACTGGGCATATTTCTATTTTTTCCAGGGGGCTTAAGCAAATGGCAGTACTACACCCAGAATTTCGGGGCAATCATTTTCCCTTTGCAGGGAAAAGACACACATGCCCCTCCAACCACCCCGCAGATGCAGCTCAGCTTTCCTCATCATGAACAGCCCACCTTTTTCCCCTAAAATCTGCACAACAAGTTTGTGGCAGTGATCTCGGGTATTTTTTTGGATTGACACGGTTTTATTTGCTTGCTGCCACACAACTTCTGGTCGCTGGGGGCAGGTTGGAAACTTGTATCCCACAGGGGTTGCGGCAAAGTGACCGGATCCACCCCTGTCGGATATTAAAAAAGAAGCAGGGGGAACGCATCGGTGAAATCGCCTCTACAAAACCAGTTTTCTAGATTCAAGGACCCCGCAAAAAGGAGGCTTCCCCCCAATTGGTGGTTTGGACTGTTTGGTGTCCCTGTGTTTTTTTGGGTGGGAAACTACCCCACCACTAAACCACCGGACTCCAATCCACCAATCAGAGCTGATTAGCACAGCCTATTCTCAAAGAGAGCGGGCTCCAAAGACTGTCCATGACCAACTATGTCTGCCTATTCTAGGTCCCCCAATAGTACCCTTTTGCCCTTTTTTGGGGAAGGGTTCCCCTACTAAAATAGACTACAGAAAAAAAGGGTACCCTTATTCTATCCTCTCCACTGGAGGACCTAGTATTTTACAGCGAGCTGACATGGGGGTATAACCAGCTCAAGCCATGGTAAAGGTTCTTTGCTTAAAGATCCCATTCAGGTTTTGGAATAAGAGTAAATTCTGCGGACTTTTTGCAGAAGCCCTCGCATGCCGGGGTCAAGCGATGGTAAGGTGAAGAAGAGGTCTCCGGTGGTCTCCAGCAAGTGGGTCCTTGCCATTCTTGCAATGGGAATCGGCAAGGAACCCTAGCAAATGGTTGCTTGTTGGTATTGGAACCCTGGAAAAATGGGTTGCTTATTGTTTTTTGTTTTGTTTTTTTAACCTCCGTCCAGGATTGTCCAGGGTGTAAGGTGAAGAAGAGGTCTCCGGTGGTCTCCAAAAACCTCGGCGGCAAGCGGCGCCTTGCTCAGGCGAGTTGGAGCCCAGCTCGCCGCCGGCGGACGAAGTCGCAGAGGGCCCATCCACAGTGGCGGCGCCTTGGCGCCCGGGGACGACACAAAATGGGGCCGGCAGGGCTGAACTTGGGTTCAGACACCCGCCCCAAAAAGGGTTTGTTATAAAAGAGACGCACACTGGTGTGGGTCTGTCGTTTTTCTTGAGTTGGTGCCAGTTGTTTTTGTGGTTTGAAAGGGACATCCACTGGAAAGCCGAAGCATTTGGGGGGTCCAAATACCAAAAAGGCAGACCCAGTTTTAACTTCTGGGCTCTAGTTGGCTTCTAATCGGTTTCTTTTCGCTTGGCGGCTGAGCTTCGGTGTTGCTGTGAACAGGCTTGCTGCGACCCTGAAAAAAGAAACAATCCACATGTGTTCCAAACCTGAACACAGCGCGGAAAACTGCCTTTTTGTTTCTGGATAAGGGGCGCTCAGGCCCCTCGGTTTGGATGTTTAAGAGACACTTTTCACCTTAGAAGTGGACGGGACCCCAAACACACTGCCCCAAACATACCATGTATGATCATGTGTGTGTTTTGTGTTTGTTTGCGGGGAACTGACATGGACCACAACTTGGGATGTGCTTGGGATAGGAGCAAAGGGGGAACTCCCCAAACCACTACTCCCAGAGAAAAATGGATATACATCCTGTATATAGTGGTTTCTTGTTGGTTTCATCAAAGGCCTGGGGGGGTTTGGGCCATCGACCGACGCCAAGGAGACGACCCTCACGGCTGGCGACAGCTTCGGAGAGTTGTCCATTCTGCCGCTCGAAAATGCAGCGTGCGTTTTTGCTGTGCAATTTCGAGGTGTCCAGTTCATAGGTGTCCTTTTTGGTTGTTTTCGTAGAAAAAATAGATGGCGATTCCTAGTTTACCTGGTGGTTTAATCATCTACCAGGGAAACCCATCTATTTGCCACAAAGGACACCTATGGTCCAGTTGGTTTCCAGTTGGCCAAGAAGGACACTGGAAATGGACACCAAGAAATGTTTTACAGTCAACCGATATTGGAGCTACAGTTGGTTTACAGTCGACCAAGAACATGGACAACGGAATTCCATAGCCGAAGTTCGGTGATTTCCATTTGGTGTTTCCTTATGATTCACCGCAAAGAGGGTACCAAAAATGAGAAACTCATAATCACAGGTGAGCCACATCCCTCCGCCGTTGTTGTTTTAATGTCTCCTGGATGAGTGATTTGCCGAATCGATGATGTTTGCTCCTCATAACAGCAATGAGCTCCCAATACATTTGCTTTTAATGGGAATTGATGAATGACGTTGTTGTTCTCTCATCGATTGCTCAATTTGGAGTTCAATCACCCAGGGCCACGAAGCCTGGGCTGCCCGCTTTTGTCACTGCCCGGAGGTTAGGAGAGAGAGCCTTCCCCTTTTTCGGAAGGACCCCCAAGGATGTCTGGAGATGGCTGTGCCATTGGATTTGGACACCCAAAGAACGGTGATTTTCCTTTTGGCGTCCCTTTCAACCCCACCCGTTTGCAACTGAAAAATAGCGCCCAGATTCCGATCCTAAACATCGATCGATCAGGTGCCTCAGGTTCCACTCGTGGTTGTCCTTTTTTACTTCAAGAAGTGCTGCGGGTTCAGACCAAACCAACTGGCTGACTTTGTTGGGTGAGTGCCCGGCTCTTTGGGAGGTTTTCTGGGGCTAGACACCTCTTTGGATCTGTGGAGGTTGATCAACATTCCTGGCTTCGAATGACCATGGGTAACTTTTCCCATTTAGTGGGACATATCATGTTTACCCCCCCCCCCACACACACACACACACACACACCCACCCACACACCCACCCACCCACCCACCCACCCACCCACCCACCCACCCACCCACCCACCCACCCACGCACGCACGCACGCACGCACGCACGCACGCACGCACGCACGCACGCACGCACGCACGCACGCACGCACGCACGCACGCACGCACGCACGCACGCACGCACGCACGCACGCACGCACGCACGCACGCACGCACGCACGCACGCACGCACGCACGCACGCACGCACGCACGCACGCACGCACGCACGCACGCACGCACGCACGCACGCACGCACGCACGCACGCACGCACGCACGCACGCACGCACGCACGCACGCACGCACGCACGCACGCACGCACGCACGCACGCACATGCGCGCACGCGCACGCGCACGCACACGCACGCGCACGCACACGCACGCACACCACGCACACGCACGCACACACACGCACACACACACACACACACACACACACACACACACACACACACACACACACACACACACACACACACACACACACACACACACACACACACACACACACACACACACACACACACACACACACACACACACACACACACACACACACACACACACACACACACACACACACACACACACACACACACCCACACACCCCTTGTGACACCCATGTAAAAGACCTTTTGATCAACACCCATGTGTCAACATGGAGGGAACCCCCAAGACCAAAAGGACGGTTGAATTTTGGTTTCTTTCAAACCAACCCAAACCGGGTAGCCTAAACAAGCACCGCCTTGGTGGAACCGAACGATGGTGAACGTTTTTTGAGGTTTTTTGTAGGTGTCTATTGGCAACGTATCAGCGCACTTACTTTGATTTTGTTTGGCTCAGGGTGCAAACATGCTACCTTCTCCGCGCACCTTTTGTATGCATGCGACCTTCTTTTTGTAGGTGTGGGGGGTTGGGATGTTCACTGGGGGTACGATTTGGGTTTTGACCCATAGCCATATGGACTGCCCAAGAGAAAGCCAGTTGCCTCAACATGGCCTGAATTTCAATTTAGGGCCGCAGTTGATGGGCCATGATGGTCGTTGTTTACATGAAAAATCATGTCTACCCACTTTGAGGGTGCTCCCCTAATTAATCCTAGCCAACATGGCCAATGCGGGGACTTGCCTTTTGCGGCATGCTTGATTTGTGGCAGTTTCAGGTCGTGTCACTTCTCAGGCAATTTGCTCAAGACGAGCCTTTATCGTTTGGGTTTCGGAAGGGGTGTCGTGTCCTTTGCGCCAGTTACTGAACACCCGGGTAGATGAAGGTTGGTAAGGCACAATCCCAGAAGAAATGGGTGCGGCCGCCTGGGTACTGTACATGGTTCTGGGTAGACCATTTTGATACCGATCGGTTTTGATTGTGACTCCTTTGACGCGGAAGACACCAGAGGGATGATGGAGAACACTCCGAGAAGCAACTCCACACATGTTCCGCATACAGAACTAACAATTCTTCCATTTGATGGAATGTGTTTTTTGCTTAAAAACGCATCCCTTGTTGGGTTTAAAAGGATTTGATCACTGATAGAAATATGTGCTCATCTTTTTCCAGGGGACTTAAGCAAATGGAAGTTATTGGAGTGTTGGGGTATGATGCAGCTTAAACAGGTCTCTAAATCCCCCCCCCCCCCGAACGGTTTAAACACAACTTTGTGTGCCGGATTCACAGGGTTTCTATTTCCCTTTTGGAACCTCCCAAAGTGGCGATCGTTGCACTGGAAGTCACCCGCAATGGCAACTTTTGATTTGGGGAACTCCGGCGGCTGCGTTTTTTTTTTTTTCTCCGGTGTTTCCCTGTGGGGTGTTGAGAGGGGAAGGATGGTGAAAGAAATCTTTGGAAATCCATTCCTTGATCCCTCTATCTCTTATCTCTTTGTCCTCTTCATCCTACCTCCTCTCTACATCACAGACAATAGATGAGAATAATGTTCAAAGGGGAAATCTAGGGAACGGCTGACAGGAAGACTGCTCGCTCTACATGATCGACCGCCGGCACTTCTCAGCTTGCTTCAATCGGAGCCTCCGCACGGAAAAGTGCTTCAAGCGACGCCTCGCCTCGATCCCCTCGCCCCACTAGGTTTTTTAGTAGTGCCCTTCTCTCCTTTATTTTGGTTTTTTGGGTTGCCCTACCAAAATAGACTACAGAAAAAGGGGTACCCTTATTCTAACCCATCAACATTTGAAATAGTGGCAACTGGCCCAGTTCGCCCCCTGCCATCAACTGCGATCTGCAGATTTCCCCCACCAGTTCCACTTCGAGGCACCGGAAACATCTCAGCCTGTCCACGGGCGTGAGACGCCTGGTTCTTCGAATGCATGGCTTTATACTTTACATGGTGGATGTTTGGTTCTGCACCTTGTCTTTGCGGCTCTTCCTGACAGTGACTAAGTGGGTTTGTCTCAAAATGGGAACCTTACACATGGTTGATATCCTTTGAGTTTCCCCTTAAAAACCCAACCAGCAGGGGCTCCCTGAAAAAAAGACACCCAAATGAATGGTCCGGGGGTTATTGCTCTGGAAGAAAGGAAGCCACACTAAACAAGGACTCCCTGGTGTGTTGTATCTATCAGGGGTCAGCATCAGCGAAGGTTCGTGGAATCTTTCCGGGAGCTTTTGGACCTGCAAGCGATTCCAACGTCTGAGGAGAGGCAAGCGGTTCAAGGAGTTCATCGAGTTGCTGGAGGAGGCACGGACCGGATTCAGATCGAGCCGAGCGGATGTTTGGACGAAGAAAACCGAACAGAAAAAGGCTGTTTTTTTTGGCACGAATCCATGCATGAATTCCATGTTTTGTTGGTCCTTTGGTCTTTCTACATGCTGAGGACTTGCTGGTTCGATAGGCAGGGAATGAGTTGACCCAGAAAAGAAACACCCCTTTTTGGTTTCCTTTGAGGGAATACCTAGGTTCATTCCCAACACCCGGAAGGTCATTCCCTACGTATCGCACCAGCAAGACGACGTTCGTGCTCCACAACGGGCGCCAAAGAGTTTAGGAGGTTGACAATCTTGCATCCCTGGGCTTGAAATATATATTTTTGGACGAACACAGCACTGGGAGCTTCGCTTTTGACTTGCGGCTCGCTGGATGTTTTTTGTTTTTTGTTTTGTGTTTTTTTAGCTGACCCTGGTAGCCCGTACACTTTGCTGGCCAGGATCCGGGGTCCCTCAATCTCCGCTGTTTTGGGATCTTCAAAAGTGGCGATCGTTTCAATGGAACACAGAGCAACCTCAAAAAAAATAACAGAGTCCATGGAACCTTCAAAGTTGAGCCTTCATGACACTTCATGGGGCTTTTAGTCCATTTTGAGGGGTCGCTGTTCACAGTTCAATGGAACCCACCGGCAAGTTGCAACTTTTGAGCCCAGAGACCCCTCAAAATGAACAAGGCGGATCCCTTGCCGCAAGGCGAGCTTTGCCCGCGTCAAATCGACTTTCAACTTTGAACTTCAGCTGCGAAAGGAGGTTTCTCCACAATTCGATTTTCTAGCCCAATCCTGAGTTGCAGGAATGAGAGGCTGGCTTGTGGGCGGTGTTGCCTCCCTTTTTTGGGTGTTCGTTCATGTTCCTTTTCAACCAGGAACAGAGAATAATAGCGTTTTCTGGTCCAGTTATCTCGAGGTTGCAAATCCCGATTCGCGGATCTTCCCGTGGTGCCCTCAACGATGCGGCGCAGTACGCGAATCGACCTTACCGTTGGAACTTGCCTTGGTCCATGTCATTGCTTCCATTTGCTGAAGAATAAGAGTATGATGTAAATTTCCCTTGTTGGTTTTGAAAGGAGTCTATCACTTTTCGAGCTTAAGCAAACGGAGGACTCTGGAGCTGCAATTGTCGATAAATGTTGACCCCAGATTAATAAACCCCGGTGTATTAATATGGGGGTGTTCCCCTCCAAACGTGATAAATCCCCACTAAAACCAGAATTGGACACCCCCATATTAATAAACTGAGGTTTATGAGTCTGGGGTCCCCCTGGTTGATTAATGGGGGGGTGCCCCTTTTAGTGGGGATTCATCACTTTTGGAAGGACCCCCCCCAATAATGGGACGGGTTTATGAATCCTGTTCCCTCCAAAAGTGATAAATCCCCACTAAACCCAGAATTGGACACCCCCCATATTAATAAACTGGGATTTATGAATCTGGGGTCAACATTCTGCAAAAGACGAAAAGCCAGTGCCAGGTCCATATCCTGTCGCCGCTCCTGTACTCCGAGCGCTTTGAGTTGGCCTGCAACGCCATAGGCGGGCACGAATTTCTAGGGGTAGCTTTGAATTCCATTCTGAACCCAGGGATCCTGATCTTTCTAGACAACCTCTGGAAACCCAGAAAAAAACGGATCCGATTTTTGGAAAGAAGGAAGGTTGAAAAGACTGGAAGAGGAATCAGCCTCTAGAGACTTCCTCTTTTCCGTCCAGCTGGGTTTGAGATAACCGCCGCCTGCGGTTTGAACCCGTTTGGAGAAGTGGGTAACGAAAGCGGTGAGCACCCAGGATTGTAGGAATATCAACGCACCGAGTCTTAAACGCCCATCTCCCCATTCCAGGTACCCCTGAATTGATGGTTTGGATTGGTGGATTCTGATTTGAACCGCAGTTCCTTCTGACACCGAATCAAAACGCCCCCTGACATCCAACCCAAAGGCCAATCAGGGGCAGGTTGAGTTTTCTTGCAAGTAGGGGGATTGGTGGTTGGACGTGGGCCCATTGATTGCAATTGGGGAACCCATGGTAGCTCGAGCTGATCTGGCAACCCGAGTCTTGGTGGCGAAGCCATCCGTTTCCTTAGCTTCTTAGGTCCTTTTAGTGTTTAGTGGTAGTTTCCATTTAACCCACTAAAAGTTATTCACTTTTCGCGGGGGATCTGAAAACGGGCAGCCCAGGAGTGGCTGGCCTTTTCGATAGGGATGAGGACGGGGAAGTTGAAGCCCAGAAGACTACCTGTAGTACAGTAGTACCTTTTGATTTTGACTCAACCCCCTTTTTGTCTACCATGGGTTCTGAGTAGACAATCATACCAGGTTTCTTTGCCCCTCTCCCTATCGATTTTTTGTTTTAACGGTTTTCAAAGGGAAGCCAGAAGCAAACGCACAAGGGTCCACCATGGTACACCCCCCCCACTTTCCCTTTTTGGACGGCGCTTCAGGCGGCTCGTTTATTTTGTTTTTGTTCTTCTCTTTTTTGTTTCCGGGATCCCCTTCTTTGATGGTCTTAACATGGTTGTTGTTGGGAAACATTTTGCATTTTTGCTTATTGTGGTTTTGTGGGAAATCCCCACTTAACTGCTAAAATTTGATTTTTTGCTCCCCTTCCAACGTCAATCAAGTTAAAGGGACGCCAAAACAAACATCACCAGTGTGGGGTCCTCTGAAGAAGACAGAGCCTCTGGTTTTGGGAACCGGTCAGGCGCTTTTTTTTCGTGGTTTTCAGGTAGCTTCGTCGGATGCAAGGGGGTCGATAGGCCCAGAGATTCGCTCTGGGGTGGTTTTGGGGCTGCTTTCAGGGTTCTGAGATTCGCGTGTAGGGATTCCGGGGCTGTTGTGTTTCTGCCTGGGCATATGTTCTCAACATTAAAAAAAAGAGATCAAAGCAAGTCCCCCCAACCCCCATTTCTCTTGGTTTTCTCCGACTAAATGTTACTCCCATGTGTGTGTGTGTGTGTGTGTGTGTGTTTTAACCCCCGTTTCCCCTGGTTTCTCCAGCCAGATGTGTTTTCCCCCCCCCCCCCCCCCTCTCCTTTTGGCTTTCTCCAAATGTGTGTGTGTGTGTTTTTTCTTCTCCACCTCTATGTTTCTTGGCTTCCAGCCATCTCCTTAGCTTTTTGGATCCTTTTAGTGTTTAGTGGTGTCCGAGTTTTTCACCTTCAGCGGGGCGGGCAGCCCGGTTGTCCATCCTCTCCCACCAATCATGGAAGCTGACAGACTATGGTGTTCTCTTGTTAGGAGTTGGTCCCTTTTTGGTTGGGTTCTACGGGGGAAATCAAGAGGAAAGCCATCATTTTAGGGGTCACCTCAAAAAGAGACACACCCACATGGACCAAAGTGGCTTCCAGGGATCTCCGCACGAGTCCATGGGTGGAAAGGTTTGCGGTTTCTGAATGCTTGGGACCTGTTTTTCCCCCCCAAACACCTGCAAGGTTCGCTCAGTTGTTCAAAGACAAGCTTTTGACCTTTTGGTTTTCCCTCTACTTTTAGTAGAGGTCCCAAAAGGTGAACCTTTTCCAGGTCCTTTGGGCAAGTTTGTTTTCTTCCAGATGCTTCCGCTCGCGCTCCGAGTCTGCGAGCCGCCGAGCTCCGCTTCCGAGCGAGGCCTGGTGGACTTCCCCCCGGGCGAGCGCGTGCTGAACCAGGGCCTGGTGCGCTCGGCGAAGCTCTGGCGCCCGGGCTCGGAGCTCACGCGGTGTCCTCTACCTTCCATTGGTTTAATTATATTTGTTCTTTTAGTGTGTATATATATATATATTAATTCAAAAAAAAAAACAATATAATATGTATTATTTTCCCTGTTGGTTTTGCAGGGAATCTATGTGTTTCTTTCTTTTCCCATGGCCTTGTTTTTTCCTCTTTAGAGCGACTTCCATTTGCTGAAATGAAGTTTCAATAGTTTTCCTTGTTGGTCTTAAAGGGAATTTAGCACCACTGGAAATATGTGTTGCTGTTTTGTCCCGGGAGGCGGAAAGGCCAATGGAAGTTACCATAGCTCAGTTGTTCAACTCCGAGCCTACCTTTTGGTTTTCGCTTTGAGGTCTCAAAAGGTGAACCTTTTATTTATGCAGAGTGACTTGGTGAAGCCAGGCATCCGCTTCCTGAGCTTTGGTTGGTTTGGTGGTTTGGTGTGTCACTTTTCGCAGGGGATCCGACAGCCCAGTTTGCCATCTGAGTCTGCCACCAATCATGGAAGGCAGACTATGGTGTCTCGTTTTAGGATCTTTTTGTTTTAACGGGGAAATGAAAAGGAAAGCCAGCATTGTAGGGGTCCCCAAAAAAAGTGACACCCATATGGACCAAAGTGACCAAAGGCTCTCCGCGCGAGTCGGTGGACAGTTTTGCGGTTTCCGGGCCAATGCTTGGGGCCTGTTTTCGCCTTCTGGCACAGCGAACGTGAGGCCGGCTGAACGTCGGAACTCTGAAGGACCATTTGTTTGCGTGTTGGGGCTGAAAGATGAACTTGTGGAAGGGCTAAACATGCTTTCAGACAGCGCAATTATGTTCCGTCGTTCTAGTAATACCGGGCTTGTTAACGTGTTGTAGCTCAAGGCCGTCAGCATTGCCTTTTCAAGGCTTGTGGCGTTCTTTCCCTGAACTGAAGCTCACTCGATGAGTTCATGGACTTTACACTTTTTGGGAAGACCATTTCAGCGGCAAACAACCGCTTTGGACTTTTTGCTGGCCAATCAACTCGTTCGGAAGTGAGGAAGTAAGTGTGATATCCTGCCAAGAAACCCTACGCACATAGATGTAGACTGGGTTCCCAGCCTTGGACGTGTGACATCTCTCACGAGTTAAGCTGTTCAGCTTCTTCCTTGTTGTGCGGGACCCAATGGAATCGATCCCCCCTTCTTGTTTTTTTTTTGGGTGGGAGGTTCCGCAAACCCAGCATAGAAGGTCAAATCAAGAGAACCACCCTTTTTTTAGCAAGAGGAGAAAAGTTGGCTCCCTACTCGGGGTTTTGGGATCCAGGCAGGGATCCAGGCAAACCAAGGTCACCAAACAGCTGCTAGGTCCCCAAGTAGTGCCCTTTTACCTGTTTTTGGGAGGGTTCCCCTACTAAAATAGACTACAGAAAAAAGTTGGTACCCTTATTTTAATCTTGCAAAGCTGGAGGACCCAGTGGATGTGTCTTGAAAAAGGGCACCCCCCCAAATGGGCGTTGTGTTTTTCCTTTCGGTTTTTTCTTGAAAGCCGCCCAAAAAGGTCCCCGGAAAAGGGACACACCTAGGATCCCGGTCTACTGGAGGACCTAGAAACCTTGGTGGCTCCCAGCCATCCCCTCAGCTTTTTAGCCTTTTAGTGTTTAGTGGTAGTTTCCGAATTTAACCCACTAAAAGTCCTCAACTTTTCGCGGGGATCTGAAAACGGGCAGCCCAGAAACCGCTGGCTTGGGCTACGCTTCCAGCTGAGGTACGTCATCCACTCCGGAGCTGCCGTGGCTGCTCGGCTTCCGATTTTTCCCCAACAGCTGGAAGCTTTGGGGTCTGAGCCCAGATAGGGTTCGGGGTGGTCCGGGGCGACCCTGAGGTAAGGTTCCACCAGGGTTCCACCAGGGTTCCACCAGGGTTCCACCAGGGTTCCACCAGGGTTCCACGAGGTTCGGCGGGGTGGTCCGAACACTAAAAAGAGCACCGCAGGCTGCTGGGGATATAACCTGAGCTTATTTGTTTTTGTCGTGAGGATTCCTGACCGAACGGTTGAAATCTCTCGCCGGACGATCGACGTGGACGGTGGGCTCCTCTTTTGGGAGGGGACCCTTGTGATTTTTTAAAGGGAGGCGAAAAGGACCACCGCTTCCTTGTTTTTTTTTTGGGGGGGGGGGCAAAAAGAACAAGCACACCCAAATGAGCACGCGGAGTCTATTTTACCACACCGGGACGAGCAAACGAAGAAACGGTGAGAGCCGTTCGGAAAATCCGAAGGTGAGCTTGGACACCGAGAAGGACGGGAAGAAGGAGCCTTTTCGTGCCTTGAGAGAGAGAGAGAGAGAGAGAGAGCGAGGGAGTCCACACGGATCCTCTGACAGCACTCAGCACAAAGAGGCTCACTTCTCCGCAGTGAATTGACCTGTTCAGCTTTTGGGCCTCCCTTCTCCATGTTTGGTCAAGGTTGTAAGAGGTCCTTTGATCTTGTTTGGGGGCCAAGTTGCTAAAGCCATACACCAACCTCCTATTGCATTCTGCATAAAGTGGTTGTCTTATTTTATTGGGGGAACACCCTGATCATTTGACAGGTTGAGTTTTGAAGTCAGGTCGCCCGTTTTTTCACTGGCCATTCTTCGCCGAACCAAAGGACTGCAACAAGCCGCCAGAGACAGCGATGTTCGGTAGTGTTTCATTGCAACTGGGTGTGTCTTTTTTGTGGGGATCCCAACAAATGGCGGTTTCCTTTTGGTTCTCTTTGCAACGATAGAATCTTGGTATGGTGTTTTTTGGTGTTCCCTTTGGTTTCAAGTCTGGAATCTTGTTTCGGGTGTTTCTCATTGGTCGGTCCACCGGGATTCCTTTAAAGACCAGCCAAAGTCCGCCATTTGGGGCATGCTCAGATGGTTTGTCCAAGCGTGGACTGTTCTTGGCTGCTAGTTTCGAGCAACCCAAACGAAGCCAAGCGCAGCGGACCAGTATTTGGAGAAACACTCCCGTATTAAGATGCTCCTGGCCCTCGGTTCATCTAAGGACCTGACACATCAAGAGTTGGCTCCTATCATGACCAAGCTCTGTTTAAGAGTACCCGAAGACCATATTATATTTAAGCCCATACATTCTATTGCCTTTTCCATCTCAGATCTTCAAGCAGGTCACGATCGTCAGCGACTTCGGAGGGTGAAGACTAACACTTGTCGCATTGGCAGACCAAGGGCGGAGTGCCGTGTGCGACGTTTCGCTCCCCTTTTTGTTGATTGCCCCCTTTTGCCAAGAGCACCTAGGTCCCCCAGTACTGCCCTTTTTCCCTTTTTTGGGGGAGGGTTCCCCTACTAAAATAGACTACAGAAAAAGGAAGAAGAACAAAAGTTGGTACTCTGCTAACCTCGCAAAACTGGAGGACCTAGGCACGTTTTGCAGTGGGACGGCCCAGAAGTGCCAAGAGCTGGGAATGGCAGGAGAATGAGTTCCTGACCAGCCTGAGCCGTGCAGCGCACTTCGGAGAACGCTCCCTGCTGCGCCCCTCGACGCACCGCTCGCTCCGACGTTTTGGCCAAGGTGTCTAAGACCTCGAAAACGTGTTCTTTCCTCCTTTGGGGCTTTGAATCTCGCCAAGCTTCAAAAGGATGCTGTATTGGTTTCCACTCAAGAACCAGCTGTTTAGGCGAAGCCAAAGGTCGTCGGTTGTTGCTTTGGGGAGGGACACAGGGCATCACGCCACGCGAAAGCCAAAGGACAAAGGACACGTATTTTAATCCATGTCCTCTGAGATGATGAAAGGAAACGTGGGGCGCTGGTAAAATCAAGCTATCTTGCCACTCATAGGAAACCTCTGTCATGTCGCCCCTCTTTTTTCTACTTGTATAGGGGCATCCCGTAGAGCGGATTTTTCGGCTCGCAAGCACATCTTCCGTCTCAGCTCCTTTGGTTCAGTGGTTTTGCCTCGAACATCTGGCAACAAATTGGATGGCCGAGTCCTTGTCCGGCTGGAATGGCAACGTGCAAAATGCCGCGCTTGTTGAAAAACCTTTGTGACTGAAGCGAGAAATCATTCGGAAACTATGGGAAGATATGGGGGGGGGAACATTGGAAGCCATGGGGAAAACCACTTAAGCTCACTTGGAAAAGAGGAAAACATGAGGGGAACGCTTGGAAGCCGGGCAAAATGTTGGAACCATTGAGAAGAATCATTGGGGGGAACCCGGCTGTCCCGGCTGTCCCCGCCCAAAATGTAAAGCAAGTTATGTGCCCAATGGTTCTGATCTGGTCATATCCCTGAAGGATGTTGGGTGGATTTTCAAACTTTGCTGTGCACGGTCACTTTGGGAGGGACACAAACAAGCAATTCCCACAACGATTTGGGGTTCTCACCAATTGTTCATGTCCATGTTTGACACTCAGTAGCAGAGCGTGCCCCCTTCAGAGGTGAGAATCGGCGCACTGCATTCTCCATGTTGGTTTCATCCTCTTTACCCACATCCACCGGACCAATTGTGCCATCCACCTTCTTTTTTTTGGGTAAGCAGGGGCCCTTCACTAGTGCATGGACTGCGGGGGCTATGGGGAGGTATCCCATAAGCCTAGGGCAAGGACAAGGGAGGCCTTAAGAAGGCCTTCAGGGGTTCAGGGACAGGTTCCCCCCTCCATAGCCCAAAACCATTACGGGGCCTTTCACTGAGCACATTTCCGGGAAACCAGGCGCCGGGCTATTCGAGGTGGTGAGTCTGCTGCGCCAGTGAACATCGAAGCAGGCGCCGAAGGCGGGGGATCGAAATCTGGCCGGGTGGATAGGCAGAGAATGAGAAGGGGAATGGCCCCCCGAGCAAAACCAGCCCCTGTGGCTTCCTTTAAGGGATTCCCCAAAACTGGTTCATAGCCAACACCAGTCATTCCCCACTCTACTGAGCACCAGCAAGTTATATCTGGGCCCTTGAAGTGGATACATTTCGAGTGCGTCTCGAATTTTAAGTTATAGAAACCAGCTACAGAGGCGAGTTTCAAACGAGGACATTGGCCAACTACCCAGCAAACCAGGGGCATCCTGGAACACTTCCTGTAGCTAATTTCTTTTTAGATTGAGATTTGAGGCTTTTTAGATTTTGAGGGGCTCTCAATTTCTTTCGGGCACCAATTAGAATTTTGAGGATGTCACTTCATGGGCCCATGTACTTAGATGCGGGCCTAGATTCCAGTAATCCTTGGGTTGAACAAGGTGGGGGGGAGGTCAATGGGGGAGGTAGCCTCGGGGCGATATTAAAGCAGTAAGCCAAGAAACAACCTGGGCCGTTTGAGTCGCGGTTGATGAAGGTCTGTCCTCGGAAGCAAACAGATGATGGACATTTCAACTCCAGAAAGATCATCGAAGTTGTGGCGACGATTGGTGGATGCAAAGCGTGTAAAGATATCATGTGGTATTTTCTGATTTCGCACTCTTGCCCATGGTCGCAACCCATGTGCGTTTCTTCCCCGAGCCGCGTTGCGGTAAGACCTGGGTCACCAGGTCGCTGGGTGACTGGTAGGCGGCCTTGGAACGTGGTATTCCCCGATTTTTGGCTTAAAGGCCTCCCTAGACTCGGGATGTTCTTTGGACCTACCTCGAACTGTTTGGGGCAAATGGTTGTTTCCAACAACAGCTTGAAGTTTCCAGCCAATGGTCGTTCAGAGCAGGGCAGAGATTCTCAAGGATTGGGCGCCTTGGGAGAGCGCTTTTAAGTTAAAACTGGGGACCCCTGGGTCCAGGGTGTTAGTTTCCATGCTGGCCATGTCAGTCCTGTTGCCAACAGGGTCCTGTTGCCAACAGGTTTTTTCCTGGATCTCTTGGGTTATCGAGGCCCAAATATGGACCAGCTTCTCGAAGTTATTATTCTGCATTTTGAGGTTCATGCACCACTGCGCCAGAACCAACCACATTTTATATTTTGGGGCGTGTTGCTTGCGGTCGTTTCTCGGGCGTTTTTCTTTGTTTTCCGCCTGAGACTTTTGATCCCCCCCCCCGGGTTTCGAACAAGGAATGACCTGCCTGACCTTCTGGGGGGACAACATCGCCTCGCTGCTGCGCAGAGTGCTGGAGCAGGAGCTTTGGTTAGGGTGAGCAAGTGGCCCGCCGAGTAACTTGGTGGCGAAGCCAGCCATCCGGTCCCTTAGTTTTTGTTGATGCTGTTGGTGTTTAGTGGTAGCTTCTATTTAAGCATCTCCCTTTTTTGGGGGAGGCTTCCCCTACTAAAATAGGCTACAGAAAAAACCGGTACCCTTATTCTAGCCTCTCTACTGGAGGACCCTCGGTACCCGAATTCAACTGTCTAAAAGTTGGTTAAACTTTTAGCGGGGGATCTGAGAACTTTTGGCAGCCCAGGCAATTGGGCCGTTTGGGGGGAGGGGCTTTTCAATGGAAACCGCATCTTTGGAGCAAGTGTGTGTTTTTTGGGGGGCTGTCCCCGTTTTGTTCCTTCTTTTTGTTTCTTCTTTGTTGTTTCTTCTCGAAACAGGGACACAGCTGCCTCTCTGTTTCCTCTTTTTTTTGGGGGGGGGCTCGCCCAAGTAATCCCTTGTAATTTCGCTGTTCTGGGGTCTCCAAAGCTATTCTACATTTTCGGAATATGGAAGAAGTGTCAATTTGTTTTTTTCTTCTTCGAACCCCGGCAGACAAAAAGAGAGGGTCACCTTGCCTCATCTTCTCGCTGGCCCGGTTGTCGACTGTCACCCCTATCCATTTCAGAATGGTGGGCTCACTAAAGTGGTCAGCCAGCCAAAACGAGGTGTGTCTTCTTTCAAGCCAATTTGGTAGTCCGCTAATTTTGAGACTCCCCCAAACGTGTTGCCCGGCTTAAATTTGAGTTTGTACGTACCCTTGTTTGGGTGTGTTTTAAGGGGACGGAAACCAACAAGGGAAAACCGAAGCCATTTGGGGGGTCCCCTAATGTTGAGACACCCCAACTGGTTCCAATTTTCTTTTCCCGGGAAGCCAAAAGGAAAACCCACGATTTCGATCCAGTTGTCTTTTCCATAGCCGGGAAACCAAAAGGACAACCACGATTTTGAGACACCCCAACTGGTTCCACTCCCTCCATCTGGATCTCCGGTTGCAACTGGATCTCGGGATTCCGCTCAGGAGACATCCATGGCACCGAGCGCCTACTGCGACATCAAGGCGGGCTTCGAGGTTTTGAGTGCTGGACCCTTTACTTGGCGGTTCCCAGCCATGGCTTAGGTTTTTAGGTTTTAGGCCTTTCTAATCTTCAACTAGTGGGCGTTTCCTTCCTTTTAGCATCTGAGGACAGCCCAGTTTTCCGGTTAAACGGAGACCAAACGGACAATCACGCCAAGGGGATCCCACGTTCCACGTTGACATATGCCGACGATGGTAAGATGAGCCTAGGAGCTCTGGGAGTTTTCTCCTGATGGCGTCCCGGCTCGATTGCTGAACAAAATTGCCCTCTGTACTCAGTTGTTCATCCCAAAAGGTTGGTCCTTTGGGCAACTGAGTAAAGGGGAGTCTGCTTTGATGCGAGAGCGCACGTCGCGGAAAGGAACACCTCTTTTCCACTGGGATGTTTTTTTGTTTGGAAGCCCCTGATGAACGTCGCAGGAAAGAATCCCTGTTTTTCCCACTGGGCAAATCCTGACAAGATCAGCGGCAATTCCCCTGAGCTTTTGGAGTCGAACCGTATCCGCGCCGTGAGGGGTCAAAGTCCAAATCGTACCCCAGTGAACATCCCGATCCAACCACAAAAATAGACTAAAATGGGCGGTGAATTCACCTCCCCCAAAATGGGATCCCATTGGTGTTGACCCACAGCCATATGACAACAAGTGACCTAGGGAAGCTGACCATTTACGAATTTTTGGTATACCCGGAGTCGGGCCATGGGTGTGTCCAAGAAGAAAAGAGGCCGGCCTGATATAACATGGCTGGTTTGTTTTTGGTGTACCTTTCAGATGGAGTTGTTTCTCGAAAGATTCGACTGGACCACCTTTTGGTCCGTATCTAAAGGGAACAACAGGAGATCCCGCATTTGGGTCCCTGTTTTTGGGTGCCCTTTTCACGCCAGGGGGTTTAAACGGAAACCAACAGGACTTCTGAATTCCATGTAATGGGTGTCCAAATCCCCATTGACACAAGCCCATTTTCGATGATTGGATGGATTCCCATACATCCAGGGGTCCAAATCCCCACTTAGAGTAGCTTTTTTTGGCTCCTCCATTGTGCATGTGAAGGTAAGAAAATTATTTAATTTCAATGATTTCAATTGAATTAGAAGGGGGAAACAAACAAAAACTCATTTCAACCCACAATCCGAGTCTCAAAACTCCAGGGGCCCAGAGCCTCGTTTGAACTCACGCCATTTGCGTCATGTCCGGGAGGGAATCAGATTCCTACTGTGGATGGACAAAATCCATTTCGCACCACCGTCAATAAACCCTGGAATGAATGATTCCCCAACGTAAATACCAACAAACGTTATGGCTTCAACCATGGTTTCATGTGGTGCGGAATGGATTTCGTCCATCCACACTAATTATTTCCCTTGTTGGTTTTGCAGGGAATCTACGTGTTGTTCTTTTACTGTGGCCTTGTGCTTTTTTTCTTTCGAGGAAGCTCCATGGCCTATTGATCCGGATCCGGAACGATCCGCAGGAGTGGTGGACCCGCAAGGCCCGGGGCTTCAAGAGCGGCCGGGAGGACGTGCTGAACCGCCGCCCGGCCGGAGAAGTTGGGCTCGAGACGTCGACACGACACCGCGACGGACGGAAACAGGGCGGAGAGTCGGAAAGCTGGTGTGGCGATGAGTTTGGAGCTTGTTTTTTTTTTTTTTTCTTCTTTTTTTCCTTGCCGAGGGGGTGGCAGGATCTGAAGATTTGTTTGGGAGGTTGGATATTTTGGGTGTGGGGTGTGCGGGTTGTGTGTGAAGGGTGGGAACCGTTGGGGCGCTGATAAGAGAAGGTGTCTCCTTCAGATGGGATACACTTTCCCGTTTTGGGCTAGATCGGCTTCAACTAGGTGTGGTCCCCACTCCACTTCCCTCCCTTAGGGTGCAGGGTACTTGGTACATGGTTGTTGTTGGGAAACATTTTACATTTGTGCTTTTTGTGGTTTAGTGGTTGAAATCCCCACTTCACTGCTAAATTTAAGCTGTTGCTCCCCTTCCAACGTCAACCAAGAGTAGGCGGTTCGTAACGCCAGTTATAGTCCACTTGGGCGACTTCACCCGGGTGATTCCCAGGGTTGCGCACTTTCCAAGTGCCGTGCCAGGTCTGAAACATCGCATGTTTCGGTTCGGTTGAGCTGCAGCAAAAACGGGCGGAAGGCCTGTCTCATACCCTTGCTGGCTCCCAGCCATCCGCTTCAACTTAGCTTTTTAGATCCTTTTAGTGGTTTAGTGGTAGTTTCCGAATTTACCCCACGAAAAGTTTTAAAAGTTTTTAGCTAGCGCCAGATACAAGGTCACTACAGAACTGCCTTTCTGGATGGCTCGGGCGTGTCGTGTCGGTCTGTTTCGGCCGGGGGGGGGGGGGGGGCTTCTTGGACCACAGGAGAATTGCCGTGGGTCGAAACCAATGGGATCCCATTTTGGGGTAGGTGCACCGCCCATTGTAGTCTTTTTTAGTGGGGATTGAGATGTTCACTGGGGGGTAACAGGGGTTTTGACCCATGGCCAAATGAGCGTGTCTTGGTTCGACGGTACCCTTCCTGGGTTGGTTCCAGTCGGAAATCGTTCAGGACGCCCTTGCCATTTGGGGGGTCCGATTCCGATTTCGAGACAAACCCACACCTTTTGCCGTTTGGTGTCTTCTTTAGGGGCTGTAAAAACCACCAAGCAAAGGGGTCCCCAGAAAATGACATGCCCATTTTGTTGGAGGCCCAAAGAAAGCCAACCGTGATTTAATTTCTCGCACCGGGTTAGCGGGTTCGGGGTTTAGGGTTTCATAAAACTGAACGGAGTCAACTTGTACGGGTTGAAACCTATGAAACGGTTCGACATAAAATCTCAAAGACCCCTTTTCCTGGAGGAGAAGCTAGGTCCCCCAGTAGTGCCCTTTCTCACTTTTTTTTTGTTTTCCCCGGTTTTTGGGTTGCCCTACTAAAATAGACCACAGAACAGAAAGTTGGTACCCGTATTCTACCCTCTCTACTGTACCAAAATAGGCTACAGAAAGTAGTTGGTACCCATATTCTACCCTCCTTACTGGAGGACCTAGGTGTCCAAAGTAGCTCCCTGCCTGAGGCGTCAACGTGAGCTGCTCGTCTGCAAGCCCACAGCCATTGAAGAAAAGCGGCTCAGTGTGCCTTTGTCTCCTTTTGGAGACACGAGGTCGGACCTGGAGGGCCTGGGTGGCAAGGAGGTGGGGGGAGAAATTTTTGGGCATGTCCCCTGTCGGCTTTCTTCTGGTTCTTCCTTTCCTGGGGATAAAAGCGCGAACATGCACCATGAGGAAGGTCCTTTGCTCAGAACCGCCCCTCATTTCTGGGGTCTCCTCCAAAATTGTCGTATTTTAGGGTAGACTCAATGTGAGGACCGAATCAGAAGATATTCATTTTGGAGTGCCCCTGGGCAAAGATTTCCAGTTTGGCAAGTATAGTAAGTCCAGGTTTTTTCGACTTGGGCTCAAGAACCACACAGAGAGCAAAACAACAACGAGCCCGTTTGTTGTCGCAATGACACGGTGCCACAGGATGCCTACAAACCCAATCCAGTTCCCTTTTACGGGTTTGTAGAAGGGGGCGTCTTTTTTTAAGGCTACCCCTCAAAATGGTGGTTTTCCTTCTGGCTTCCCTTTCAAAACCACCAAAAAGGGATACTTGCCAACAAACAACAGGCCCAGAAGGAGTTCATCCATGGTCATGGGCGCAGACTCGATTTGAACCTCGGGAGATTTTGGTGGGACACCCCTGTCCAATTTTGGTCTCCACTTGGGAACTTCAAGGGTCCCTCGTTTTTTTTTTCTTTTTTACCTCCAAAAAGTGGCAATTTTGGAACCCACCAGTAAACTGCAACTCTGACTCCGTGGCAATTGATTCTCATGAGCACTCATACAAAGGTTTACATGGGTGTTTCTCAAATTGGGGACCCCTCCAGTTCGGTTGTGTCCGTTTGGTTTCCCTGTAAACCCATCCGAAAAGGGATCCCCTATTTAGAACTTTTTCCCCGGGTCTGTGTTTTTTTCAGGGTACTCGGTAATGAACCCCCCTTTTTTTGGGGGAGTTCAAAGGAAACCCCAAATCCATTTCTATGGTCCCCACATCCCCCATTGAATTTGTAGGTTCTACTCCCTGTTTTCATAGCTACGGTGAGGTCTATGTTATGAAAACGGTATTTCCGGTTTTCCTTTTCGGGTTTCCTTTGAACCCCCAAAAAAGGGTAATTGCCCTGAAAACACCCACCCGTATAGGCGTTTGTTTTTTTACCACCTTGAATGAAGCGAAGGTCAAGCTGGGTGCTGGACCCAAGGGGTTCGTCCACATCCGCTGGGTTCACCCTATTCAAGGCTTCCCATGGTTTGGGTGAATTGACACAGCTTTGCAACGGCATGTTTATTTGGTTGGATCTTTGAAAGTTTAACTTTACCTTTTTGGGGAAATATAGGATTCTCCGTTGGACCCGCAAAAAGTTCACTTGTTGCAGAGGGGTCAAGAGCAACCAAGTAGCTAGGAAATTCATGATTTCCCAGCGGGGATAGATGAACATTCTACTTCACAAGGCCAGGCACCATGCCTTCATGGAAAACACACACTGGTCTTATTAGTCTACCATACTACCAGGTTGATTGATCTTCTAGCCCCTATTTCGCACCCAGTTTTCAAGAGTACAAATTGATTTAACTATTCTAAGGGCGGCAACAAGAGGGGCAATAGGTTAGACCAAGCCCAGCCATGCCTTTTTTGCTTCTCTTTCGAGCGGAACCTGATCCCAGTAGACGAAAGACATGTTTTTTTCAACCAACGACAAATACATGGGTTTCATTCTTTCGAGAATACCCATTAAAACAACTCAAACAACGCCACCCACCCCAAATTTTGTGAGGGGTGCCCTTTCCGTCTTGTTTCCACAGTAAGCTCATAACCGGACGGCAAAAACCGGAGTACTGGAGCTCTAGCTCAGGCTGGGACCGCATGCAGAGCAACTGCATGGCGCGTGGGAGGGGAGACGGCCTGGGGTGCGAACCGCGAACTGGGTGGGGGTCTTTTTGCTTGGTGGCTCCCAGCCATCCCCTTAGGTTTTTAGATCTCCTTAGGGTTTTGTGGGGGTTTCCGAATTTAATTCACCAAAAGTTAAGCTTTCAGCAGGGGATCTGAGGACAGTTTGCTGCCTGTCTTGGGGCCATTTTTGTAGCCCTTGACTTTGGAGCATAGCAGAGGGTTTTGCGAATGAAGAATCTTGTTTTGAGCAACGGTGAATCTGGGATGACATTTGGCACTCACCGAATTGCCTTTGTTGAACCTGGCCTACCCTGCCTGGAACCTGATGACTGTCCCTGGAAAACCATCTGGGGGAGCTCCACAGTGCGCTGCGGATAGGATCCTCATGGTCGATTGGCAGGAAGTCCTCACATTTTCTCTTGAACGGTGTTTGCTTCTGGCGTTTGGTCGCGCCGCTTTTTCAGTGCCTGCTCAACGCTCAAAACCCCAAATAGCGGCTATTTGGCAGATGGAACCTGGTAGAGGTTTATAGTACGGCTTGGACAGGCCTTTACAGCCATATGGGTGTGGCTCAAAATTAAACAGGAGGGGTTACGCAGGTTTTGGTCCATGTGTCCACTTGCCAGGGTTCCATTTTGGTGCCGGTTTTTTGAGCCACAGCCACATAGAACCGACGGCTCCAAATTGGAGTACGCTTTCAGCCCGGAGCCCTTTCTATGCCAGTTTCCAAGACCAAACGAAAAAATTCTGCGGTCGGGGGCTAGTTTTTGTGCATACATTTTGGGCTTGTATTTTCAGGCTGGAGAGTTGTTTTCCCTTTGCTTGGGAAAACAACGGGAGACCACAATGCTTTTTCTTCTTCTTTCTTTCTCCGGCTTCTGGGGTATCTTCCAAATCAATGTTCATTTCTCGGGTAGATTGAAATATGAAACCAACCCCGGCATATTAGTTTCTGTGCACCCCGTGGGCCCAGGTGTTGACACACAATGGCAAGTCCGGATGAGTAAACCCACTCTACTAAAAGGTGAGAGACCCTTAATCCACCGCCAGTCAAACGCGTTTATTCACTCTCGAGACCCTTCTATTTTGGGGGGTGGGGGGCTGGGGGGGCGGGGGTGGGGCAATTCCGTTTATCGACCAAGCACCGCAACCCCGACGCAGGCCTTTGCAGTTTTCAGACACAAACGAAACTCATGCTTGGCCAAACACTTGCTTCTTGGTAAGTTCGCTCAATCATCATTCGTGACTTGGCGGAAATGACACATCGGGCATCTGTTGCTTTCTGACAGTATATAAAACGCCTGCAGTACAACCGGATTTGGCCTCTTGCGTTCTTTGAGTATTGTGTGTATACAACCTTTATTTTTCATATTGTATTGTGTGTATTCTTCTTTGTTTAAATTATTTATTTTCTACATCCATTTCTTCATCATAGGCTGTCTCTTTCTTTAGTCGCAAAATCCTTGAACATAAAATAGACTCTAAACATGAAAACTAAAGATATGATATACCGCAACAAAATATTAATAACAGTCAGGAAATAAATAAGCATATAGAAAATAAAAGGATTGTGAAGGTACAAATGCGACGTAAGGAAGCAGGAAAATGGTATGTCCCATCTTATTAACTCCTCCACGTCGTTCCTACTCTTCACAGGCCATTGGGTGCTTTTCGCTCATCCGCCAATGGCGGAACGTAGCGGATTCCTCTTCCCTTTCTTCCGCGGGGAGCTGGCATGTCAAGCGCCCGCGTGATGCCAAAAGAACCCTGCTGACATTCCACCATGAAAGAACTGTCTTTAGTTGTGTCAAAAGTGGTTTAGTTTTCCTGTGTTGCTTTCGTCCCTGCACGATGCCATTGCCTCCTACACAGACTTGCATGCAATGTTGTCAACACCCAATTCACACTGGCACGGCCGCGCTGGCACACACACACGAGCCACGTCCTTGCAAAGGGGTGAAGGAGCTTTGCTGAAAGGCGCAGCCTGCAAAAACAGAGACTCATCCCCAAAAGCGTCACCCACAAAAGTGAGCCGGATTTTCACACTAGAAGGGGTACAAAAGAAACACCTGACCCCCCCTTTCCACCGTCTTCGCCCGGCCTTTCCACCGGGGTGTGTTTCTCTTGCGGCCTTTTTCTCGCGGATTATGTTGGTGGCGAAGCCAGCCATCCGCTTCAACTGAGCTTTTTAGACCCTTTTCGTGTTTTCGTGGTCGTTTCCGAATTTTGCCCACCAAAAGTTTGCCCAACTCATCAGCCGGGGGATCTTTGATCACGGGCAGCCCAGTCCTGATGTGGGTGTGGGTCAAAATTAAACCACCAGGGAACTGCAGGTTTTAGTCCATTCACCAGGGTGCCATTTTGGGGTTACCCTATTTTTGACCCACAGCCAGATGGGGTCCGCTTCTCCTCGCGGATGATCGTGGCAGGTGGAGCTAGATGAGCTGATGAAAATTTGTGCGCTGGGGAAGGGGGCCTACGGCCGTGTGACCCTGGTGGAGGCTCGAGCGAGTCCGGGCAATGGGCGACGGGCGAAGGGCGAAGGGCGGAGGTCGAGGACTCAAACGTGTTTTTTTGGTTTTTCTCGGAAGCCCGGTGAGGATGTCGTTGAATCATTGGAAGGTGAGGATGTACACCTTTATTCATTGGAAGGCGATTCTGGGTTAGGCGAAAAATGGGAAGAAGGGCGAAGAACGGGTCGACAGGGCCCTGCGAACAAACCTGTGAGGACTCAGTAAATCATTCGTTCGCGGTTCTTGTTAGGCAAAATTTCCTTGTTTGCTTCTCTGTCTGTTTGCTTGCTTGCTTGCTTGCTTGCTTGCTTGCTTGCTTGCTTGCTTGCTTGCTTGCTTGCTTGCTTGCTTGTTTGTGTGTTTGTGTGTTTGCTTGTTTGTTTGTTTGTGTGTTTGTTTGTTTGTTTGTTTGGTTGCTTGCTTGCTTGCTTGCTTGCTTGCTTGCTTGCTTGCTTGCTTGCTTGTGCTTGCTTGTGCTTGCTTGCTTGTGCTTGCTTGCTTGTGCTTGCTTGCTTACTTGCTTGCTTGTTTGTTTGTTTGGTTGCTTGCTTGCTTGCTTGCTTGCTTGCTTGCTTGCTTGCTTGCTTGTGCTTGCTTGCTTGCTTGCTTGCTTGCTGCTTGCTTGCTTGCTTGCTTGCTTGCTTGCTTGCTTGCTTGCTTGCTTGCTTGCTTGCTTGCTTGCTTGCTTGCTTGCTTGCTTGCTTGCTTGCTTGCTTGCTTGCTTGCTTGCTTGCTTGCTTGCTTGCTTGCTTGCTTGCTTGCTTGCTTGCTTGCTTGCTTGCTTGCTTGCTTGCTTGCTTGCTTGCTTGCTTGCTTGCTTGCTTGCTTGCTTGCTTGCTTGCTTGCTTGCTTGCTTGCTTGCTTGCTTGCTTGCTTGCTTGCTTGCTTGCTTGCTTGCTTGCTTGCTTGCTTGCTTGCTTGCTGCTTGCTTGCTTGCTTGCTTGCTTGCTTGCTTGCTTGCTTGCTTGCTTGCTTGCTTGCTTGCTTGCTTGCTTGCTTGCTTGCTTGCTTGCTTGCTTGCTTGCTTGCTTGCTTGTGTGTTTGTGTTTTCACGAATTGGGGTTCGATCCAGCCGTATGCCCTTATGCATGATTGTTCTCATGCATGCACGCATACATGCATACATGCGTGAGCACGTACTTAGTGCGCACTTACAGTACTTACCTACATACCCAACTGCCTACTGCCTGCATGTCTGCATCCCTACCTACCTGCCCACCTACCCGCCTGCCTACCGCGCCAACATACCTACATACCTACATACCTACACGCCTACACACCTACACACCTACATACCTACAGAATCACAATATATCTACATACCTAAATACCAACATAATTGCAATGTATCTATATGCTTATATACATACATACATCCCCACATCCCCACATGCATGCGTGCATGCATACCTACCTACCTAGCTACCAACCTACCTACTTACATACATACCTACCTACCTATCTACCTAGAAACCTGTACATATATGCATACATACTTACATGCCTACATACCTGCATACCTGCTTATCTGCATACTTGCATACCTGCATCCTCACATGCCCACCTGCATTCCTCCCTACCTACCTGGCTGCCTACATACATACCTACCTGCATACCTACATACCAACATACCTACATACCTGCCTCTCTACATGCATACCTGCCTACCTGCCTACCTGCCTACCTACCTACTTATATGTCGACCTGGCTATTGCGTGCATGCATGCGTGCATGCGTACATGTAGATAGGGAATCATTGAACCGGCCCCAGGCCCGTCAGCCCAACAGCAGCAGCGTAGCGTTGGCGACATCCACTTGGCGACATTGCAATGCATGGAGAGGCAAAGAACATCATCAGTACCCTTAGGCTAAGGAGTTTCGAGGGGACAGAAACTAGGGGATACTGTTTTTTTCTTGACCGACAAGGCTGAACTGCCACTTTCACGCAGCCCTTCTTTCCCACAGGACCGGAAGTTGAAGCCTTGGCAAGACCCTGTTGGTCGACCTCGTCATGTGACATCTTGTTTGCATTCCATTCGTTTTGTGGCTTTTGAAAGGCAACGCTGATGAGGCAAAACGAGCATTTCCGAGGGCCATTAGGGATTTCTGTTGGTGCATTGCGGTTTTGAATATTTCTGGGGGTTATGAAAGTCAACTGGGTTTTCAACAACTTTTAGCTACCACTTTGGGGGGGGCGGGGGTGACTTTGGTAGAATCATGAGGCTCACCGTAGTAATTGGCACACGGCATGTACAAAGCCACATGTTTTTGGCCGCTTTTGTGATTTTCCAAGCCCAAGCCTGTCTTGTTTTTTGGCGGGGGACCCTCCCTTTTGGTTGGATACAAACAGAAGAACCCACCATTTGGGGGGTCCCCGAAGCAAACTTTGGTGCATTTTGCTTGGATGTTGGGCCTTTAACCTTTTCCAACTAACGAGGTTTCCGTATTAAACCACTAAAAGTTAGTCACGTTTAGCAGGGGTGCAAAAGGAAAGCAACCTAGTGAGGTACTGGCTCTTCTTCAAACCCCCTCCCCATGTTTTTGTGTGTATTTTTTTGGGGGGGGAATGACAACTGGGGGATCTTTGAAACACCTGTGATTGGCAACCGAGCAAGACACCCCGGTTCAACCACCGGCAGGACCCTGCTCGGGGCCAGCGCTACGCTTTGAAGGCGCTGTCCAAGGGCTACATCTCGAAACAGGCGCGAGTGGATGGTGCGAACCAGTGGAGTCAAGGAGTGGGGGGGTGTCAAGGGGATGGTGTGTCTTTTTCCGGCCGTTTTGGGAAAAACAGCATGGCTCATTTCTGTGAGTGGTCAAGGGAATGGGGCCTCTATTTCAATCTTTTCTTGGTGGTTCCCAGCCAACTTGGGTGTTGAGTTGTTTTTGGTTGGTTTAGAGGTTGGGCTTCCATTGAGTTTCCTAAGAGGTAAAAACTTTGAGCAGGGGAGCCCTGCGAGACTTGGATTCCATTTTTTCCGAGCTCTTTTTTGTGCTGTTTGACACCAAGTTTCATCCATCCATAGTTAACTTGGTGGCTCCAGCCATCCCCTTAGCTTTTTAGGCTAAAAGGAGGTTCCTCTTGTTAATCTGGTTCAGTTGTCGTCATTCACAGAAAGGGGCCAGTGTATTTCTGGGGAACAGGAGGTCGGCCAGCTGATAGTAATGTCCTACATTTGCTGCAATGCTACTATTATGGATTATTATTATTATTAAAGCCCCCCGCAGGTCTTAAAGGGAATCTATCACTACTGGGCATGTATATAAATATTTTTCCAGGGACTCAAGCGAATAGCGGATGTTAATGATGAGTACGTGAGGGCGTCTTTTCTACCCCAAGCTAAGTGGTTTCCCTTTGGTTTCCCTTTGGTTTCCCTTTGGTTTCCCTTTGGTTTTTCTTTGGTTTCCCTTTGGTTTCCCTTTGGTTTCCCTTTGGTTTTTCTTTGGTTTCCCTTTGGTTTCCCTTTGGTTTCCCTTTGGTTTCCATTTGGTTTCCATTTGGTTTCCCTTTGGTTTCCCTTTAAACACCCAAAAAAGGGTGCCCTCCCACCAACTAACATGGAAGTGCAAAAAGGCCCTTTCCAAAAGGAAAGTAGTCTTTCTACAGGGGCCTGTGCAGAAGAGCTGGTGGGAGGGTGCTCTTGGAGACGAGCCACCCACGCCGCCCAAGCGACCGACACCCAGGGGAGCCAGCGCCTGGTGAATGGCGAACGCTCCTCGGCCTGAGAAAGATCCATCGGTGGACGCCTTTGTTTTGCGGGGGGGGGGGGGGACCCCCTGGTGGTTCTGGTGCCCTGAAAGGGAAAACCCAAAGAAAGGGTTTGATTGTTTGTCTTTCTCCCTCTTTGTCTCTCTCTCTCTCTCTCTCTCTCTGTCTTTGTCTCTCCCCCTCTCTCTCTCTGTTCTCTCCGTGTCTCTCTTTGTTTGTCAGTGCTTGTGCTTGTCTGGATATGCCAAGACTAGGCACTAGGCTAGATCTGTTTGGATCGTTTGAGCAGAGAGCCAACACACAACTAGCCAAGTGGGACGTCGCCAGTCTTGATACATTCGATACAACTTAATAGCACCATCGATTGGGGCGCTATCTATCCACGTATACAAAAATATATGTTGTAATGAAGGTTTCATACGCTGATATTGTGAGCGCGCCTGTTGGTGTTTGGCTCACCGAAACAGGCCTTTTTATTTGCCGAAGGCCTGTCCTCCGGGTCAACCAACCCCTGGTTGATTAATAGGGGGGCCCCATTTTAGTGGGGATTCCTCACCCTTCAATGGGAACCCATCTGGGGTCAACATCAGTCATGGAGTCATGGACCCCTGGAGTTGTGGGGAGAGGGGTTAAGGGATCCTATCCTTGGCTGGCCTTATCTAGGCCCGTTGGGGTTCCAGCTTCATCTCTCGCAGATGGTCTGTGTTGGTGCTTTTTTCCCCAGTACTTTTGTCATGTTCTCACCTCTCGACTCTTTCAACTTGGGCACTCGGCGACGCGAAGCAGATTTGGGTGGTGCCAAGCAACCAATGATTCGGCGGATGGTTGCAAAAACCGGTTTTGCCTTGAGGGTAGCCGTGAAATTTTGAAATTGCGTCTTCTTGCTCGACTTTTTTCTTGAGAAACTGCTTCCCAACAAGGGTACCCTCCAAAAAAAGAAGGACGTTTGTGACCTCACCCATGAAGGCTTTGCTGGTATTTGGATGGTTGCCAAATCCACCGTTCAATCCTGGAATGATTCGATTCCGTCGATTCCCCGACGTAAATGCCAACAAAGTTTATGGCGCGTTATGGTTTCAAGCATGGGTTTCAAAGTGGTGCAGGATTTCGCGCTTCCACAGTGGGACACCCTGATTTGGGGTCGAAGGATCAATTCACCCAGATTGGACACCCACGTTCTGAAGCACTTGACACACAGAAAGCCAGAATCGAAATCCAGGTTTCGGAATCAATCATCGTGCTTTCAGTTTTGGGGATTCTTGTTGAAGTCGTGCAAGACTCCAAGATCCATATTTAGCCGCACCTCGTTTGATCATTCAAGGTTGTCAGAGCCCTTGCAAGAAGCTCTAAGGTTCTGACCAGGTAGACGGGGTTGAACAAATAGAGTCCGATTGCCCCTTTCGGGATGTGAGCATCCGAAAGGAAGCCATTTGTTACTATTTTTGAATCGACGTAGATGGAGTGCCCCAAAAGAAAAGTATAGTCACTTCCATGATTGTCAGCTTCCTAGGGCGGGAACCTGGGCCGACTCCAAGAACCGTTTGTCAGTGGCTTTTTTGAGGTGAGATCATGTCGATGACCGACAGTGAGTTTGTGATTCGGCTTCATCGGCCGCTCGGCTTTCCTAAAGCGGAACATCCGTGGCTGATTTTGCGCAACTTTACCTAGTTATGGCCAGTTATTTGGGTCACGTATTTGGTTGGAGTTTCCAAAATGGACCCACAAAAAGTGACAAACTTTTTGCAGGCGGGTCTTGCCAGCAACCAAAATCTTAAATTTGATGTTACACAATATGAGCAACATTTGTTTTATACATGTTTTTACCACGACATGCCGGAGCTGCCGGAGTTTCCAATCGATTCCACGCGATTCGGGGGTCAGCGGTTAAGCTCATGATGTGGGTCCTTTACTTCAGGGGTTCCCTGATTTCAGGTTTTGGATTAGTATTCATTGCAGATGAATGGTTCGACCCATAGGGGGCTTCATACCAGGTCATGAGAATGTATTGGGGATGCCAGCCTTTGACATCGCGTTTCATGGGCCCTTCCCTCCGTTGCGCTGCTTTTGAGGATCCAGTGACTGGTGGTTTCAGGTTAGTGAGAAGGGTGTGGTGGGTTCACGACTCAAGGAGACTGATGCATGCCAGTTGCGGAACTATTCCCTCATGGATGCTGGAGGATGTCTCGCCTTCATAGGTCCCACCAAAGTTATTCAAGTTGTGAGGGGGAAGTGGCATTGTACCCTCACCAGTACAGCCTTTACAGTTTGATTTTGAGCACACGGAGAGAATCGTGGGACTTTCAGAAGTGAACAGTTTCCCGCTTTTGGCGCTTTGGCTTCCGATCCGCGCCAGACCCACCAGTAAAAAAGATTACCCTCCCTCCCACGTTGCCATGGCACCTGACAGGAGCTCCCTCCCACCAACTAACAGCCTGACGTTCGGGACCCGGACCCTGCAAAAGGGAAACTGGTCCAAACCAGGACCCCCAAACGAACGTCAAGTTCCGGCTGTTCATTGGTGGGAGTGTAGATCTTCCAAGTACCCTCCATAAATGCGATGCGATCTGTTCGTGGAAGGGACTGGGGTAGACTTAGGATACATTTTACATTTTACCAGTGACTCAAAGTGAAGCAAACAATAGAATATACATTCTATAATGGGGAGGGGAACCAAGAAGGGGAATCTGGCCGACAGGACCTTCAAGGATGACCAGCACGTCTACTTCCTCCTGGAAGCAGCTCTTGGCGGCAGCTTAGTGCAGGCAGGGGGAGGGGGAGGGAGTCCATGTGGGGCACGAGCATAGGTGTCCTTTTTGGTTGTTTTGGTAGAAAAATAGCATGGTGATTCCTGGTTTACTTGGTTTAATCATTTACCAGGGAAACCCATCTATTTCCCCTAAAAGGACACCTATGGGAGTGCATGGCCTTAGGAACCCGACAGCTCCTGGGCTCCCAGTGTACAAGAAGAAGTTGAGTAGCCATCAGCTATACAAACTGGTTATATAAGGTAGGTGTAGGGAAGGAAAATTAGGGGCTCATACCAATGGCCACTGTTTGTCTAGAGGGAATTCGGAGATCCTTGCGTCCGTTCCCCTCATGTAGATTGACATGGAACGCAAGAGGAATCTCTTGGCTTTTTGCGTGACGAGAGGTCAGTGTCCCTGCCTTTTGTGGTTTCATGCAATGAATCAGCCCTGGTTTTTGTGCCAACGTGACTCCTGGTTTAGTTCCATATTGATTTGCCAGGCGCGTTTCGGGTTCCCAACGGACATGGACACGGGGCCTAAAAGATGATGCTTGCCTTTCACGGCTCTCCGATGCAAGGAGTGGACAAAAGAAGGTGAACATGGGAGCTGGGGTTACTATTCACTTACCTCCCAGACCATCTCAAGCACCCTTTAGATTGTTAACAAACAGACCAGCTGCTTGGTTTTGCGAAATTTGGGATTCCCCTCCTGTTGAGAGGGAGATTGCCCAACAAGGGGCGCGGTTGGCTCGTGTCCTTTGCCGAGGTTGTCACGTTTTTGTTCCCTTGCCTGAACTTTGGCGCATTTTGCTTGGATTTTAGGACTTTACTTTATGCCAGCTAATGGGTTTCCACTAAACCACTAACAGTTAAACTTTTAGCAGGCAGAAAGCAACTGAGTGAAGTATGTTGAAAAGCAATAGCTTCTGTCTATGTTTGTTTTACTCGGCTTGGGCGTTGGACATCCTTCAGGGGATGTTCTGTCCAAGCATTCGGTATCGGGTATCCCTCATTAAACTTCATAGTCACAATGGGGGTTGGCCAATATTCCGTTTAGGGCCCCCAAATAATGATGGGCAACTTTCCCCATTCAGTGGGACACATACATATATATATATATATATATATATATATGTGGTTTTCTAGCCAATCATCATCCCATGTAAAGGACCTTTTGATCCACCTCCAGATCATGGCAAGGAAAGACCCACGTGATTGATCAACCCCCGCGTGTTTAAACACCTCTTGATCGAGCCACCCCTGGAGTCCGGCCCACGAGAGTGCCCGGCTTGCTTGCAGTTGCTTCGGGCTGAGAGTTTCTGGTTTCAAGTTACTCAGAACGGCAGGAACCCTGAAGAAGCCGCCATCAAGTGTCCCTCCTTTTGGGAATCGGACCCCCCTTTGGGTTCCTTCCGTTTAATTTGTCGGGAGGCAGGAAAAAATGGGCTCGTCGATCCTTCCAGGGTCCTTTGGAGGCAAGTTTTGATGGGGGAAGCGAGCGTTGAAGCGCATGTGTTGGTGCGGACCAGATGAGAGACTCGAGTTGCCAAAATCCAATATAGGACCAGTCAATGAATACCAAGCCGAAGATAGGTTTAAAGTCTCAACAGTCACTTAGGCTCCCTTGATTTGGTATCTACCTAGATAGCCAAGTTGCTGTTTTTTTCAGTCACTGTTGCTGGTTTTTGGGGTAAAGTGCATGGAAAAAAGCGATCGCAACTGGCGATCCAGGTAGCCCTTGATGAAACCTGCCGCAGGTGGTCAAAGATCATCCCGAGATCTTTGTCCAAGATACTCCACGCGGCGTCCCGGCTGCAGGGCTGCAGTCCGCAGTGCCGAAAAACAGGCTGAGAGCGGTTGGTGTGACGTGGCTATGTCGGTAAAATTGGGGGACACCCAAAACCATTGGTGTCCTTTTTGGTTGTTTTGGTCGATAAATAGATGGCGATTCCTGGTTTACCTGGTGGTTTAATCATCTACCAGGGAAACCAATCTATTTCCCCTAAAAGGACACCTATGCCCAAAACGGATTTCAGGTTTCCTTGTGGCTTCCGTTTGAAACCACCCCAAAAAGGGTACCCTCAACAAAGACACAGACGCAATTAAATCCCCCCAAAGGATGTACGGCTGGCGTGTATCACGGCATATTGCAGCTGGCACCATGGTTGAAAGAAACTGCACATCGGTGTGCCTCCAAATTGGGGGGTTGGATAGTCCCCTGAGTTTCAGATATGGATGTGGCTCAAAATTAAACAGGAGGGGGTACGCAGGTTTTGGTCCATGTTTCCACTTCCCAGGGCAACCCATGTTGGTCCCGGTTTTGTGAGCCACAGCCACATACAGCTCCGGGAACTTCACGAACCTCAGCCGCCCTTGACGTCGGTGAGAGAAGGATGGGCGAGGTCCAAAGAAGCACAGCGTTCACCGAACTCGGTGGAGCCGGGGGCCTTCCATGGGGTTTTGCTCGCCGGGAACGGGGGAGGTAGAGCAACCCAGTGGTGCGTATGTTTCTTGGAATGAGACCTGGGCTAACATCATTCTTTAAAAAAAAGGAGCAAAACACCACAAACTCAGCTCCCTCCCTGGTAGGTAAGCAGGGATCCTTACCACTAGTCTACGGGTTGATTATTGATTCTTTTCAACCATGGCGTTGCTTCATCCGATCCAAAAGTCCGAATCCAAGCACGCACCGGGAAATGCGAATCGTTTCGGTCATACTGTGGATGGACAAAATCCTGCACCACCTAAGAAACCCTGAAATGAATGATTCCCCTGTAAATACCAACAAACAATGGCTTCCCATGGTTTCAAAGCGGTGCAGGATTTCGTCCATCCACAGTAGAGGTAGGCTCTGTGTGAGGTTCTGGTTTTTGAGACGACAGTGTGGCTCCCGAAATGGACAAGTAGAAGAAGTAGACTAAGTTGCTTGCGGTCCCTTGTTTGAGCCAAACCCGCATCAAGCGATTTTTTGAGGCAAGCAGTCAAATTCTCCAAGTGGGGCGAAAAAGCAACACATAGGGAGAAACCCTTTGGCTCATTCAATTTTCCTCCCACTTGGCACCTGATGGGTCCCTCAAAGTGGAAGTTCTTCCAGGTTTCCTCCAATGCTATGTCAGTGGAAGGGTACTTCGGTTTTGGGTCGGCCCCTTGCATCGGGTTTTGGTTTGAACTGACAACTTGCGGAGAACCGCAAGTTTAGGGCTCCCATGTTTTTGGTCGGGTCCCCAAGATCTGCCTTTCTGAAGAAAAAAACGGCCTTTCCGCTGCATTCGTTAGTTGTGTGTCAAAAACCTGAGAGAGGCGCCAATGAGCAACGGACAATACTGCCACTCTGTTGTTGATTTGTAGACGTGGAATCTTGGCCCACCAAAGATTCCCTATTTTATCACAAGAAATAGGGCGCCTGCCCAGTTGAACCAACTAGAAGTCATACTGTCCGTGGCTCACGTGTCAAAACCGGTGGACTCCCTTGTTCGCAGGACATGGCTAAAATGTGTACAAACGTTAAACAACTATTTGAAGAACTAAGTCATGACAGAACCGCTTGCTACCCTGGTCATTTGTTTTTAAGATATCCCAGACCACTCAGTTTATTTAGCCCCCTATGCCTCTGAAATGGTTCAACGACAGCTTTCTCTTACCTTTTTGACTTCCTGGACTTTAACAGCTGTTTGGGACGTTTGGGAAGACCATTTTGGTGGTAAATAACAAGCTCAGACTCGTTTTGGCCCACCCAGTCGTTCAACAGTGAGACTTGGGGAATTGATTCCCCCCACCTTGGGCCAGGATTTGATCCGTGAGATCGCATTCCTCAGGCTCGTCGGGCGCCTTCTACGCCGCCTGCGTCACAGCGGCCGGGCGGGTTTGGTTTCTGCGTTCTCGGGCGGAGGGTGCTGGAGGGGGGGGATGGATTTTGACCTCAGGCGGCCCTAGAAATGCGAGCTCTGTGTGGAAATGTGGGTGTTTGACCTGAAACATGGCCAGACTTGGCTGACTTGTCCACCTTTCGCGTTGCTTGGCTTTGCTGCACTTTTCCTTGCACCCAAGCAATTATTGCAGGGGGTCTAGATGGGGTCTAGAAAACACGAGGCCCTTCGCACAACGTGGTTGGCTTTTGTGGGCTGTTCGTTTCAACACTCCCCCCAGGAGGGGGCCCTGGCTACAAGTGATTCATGTCACCCTTCCCTCATGATATTCCAAACCGGCCATTGGAATCAAAGCGTCTAGCACGTTCTTTGCACACAAAAGTTCAAGTGTGTACGAGTCTGGATTTCCGTTTTCCTTTCTGTCACTACACAAACCCATGAAGGGTCCCGACAAGAAACACACAGTGTACAGGATGAGTTGACTCGGAATGCAATGGATGTGACCGTGAGATGAGTGTTGAGGCTCCAACCTTGATCACCAGAAGGCCATTCCCTGGATACAACATCGCCAGCTTGTTTTTCCTTTTTTTCCATTTTATTTCGAACCCCTTTTCAGTGCGTTAAAGGGAACCTCAGATCTTCTGCTAAAAGTTCAAACTTTTGGTGGGTGAAATGGAAACTACCACTAAGCACTAAAAGGATGGCTGGGAGCCGCCAAGTGTTTACACAAGTTGAAGTGGCCCTACGGTAGGGCGTGCTTCGAAGCCTGGATTTGGCGCTTTTGCTTGCGCAACTCCTTTCTTGCACGACCCCATGAACAGCTTGCCTTTTGCCCACAAACCAACGAAAACTCGCCAACGGAGCCCAGAACAAGTTGATCAGACTGGATTGGCCAACTTGGTCTTGATGCTTGGAAGGACAAACGAGAGCTCCACACGGGTTGTTTTCCTCAATGACCTGTGCATCACCGCAACAGCCCCCCCATGTATTTGAGTTTGTCTTGCAAACAAGTGGGTGTGTCTTAAAAAATGTGGTTCCCCAAGATGGTGGTGTCCTTTTGGTTTCCCTTTAAATCCAAAAACAGGTGCCCCCCAAAAAAATAATAATAACAAATAAACAAATCAACAATCAAACAAAACAAATGAGTGCAACCGTCCTGCCCTCGGAACACACATGCAAGGGGGCCTGTGCGCATCCACTGCTTGCTTGCCTTCGGATGCTGGAGCGGGTGATTTCTCAGCTCCCAAAGAAGGGTTCCCTCAAGAGAGACCCCGCAAACTCACCTGGACTGTCTTTTCGAGGGAACCCTTTTAAGGGTTTTAAGGGGGGAAAAATACTGCGTGAGTCTTCTCAAGGTCCTCGATTTTTGGACAAACCACATTTTGTTTGTTTCTTTACTTAGGGACTAGCCATGGGGCGCAAACAATCAGGTAACCCCTAATTCGTGGTGTGGACTCATGATTCGGATTTGGATTTGAATCTCTGGTTCTTGTAGAGGGTAAATGGGAAACCCCTACTAACCACCAAACCGCTGGGCTCCAAACCACCAACTGGCAGGACTCAATTGGACATGTGCCCAAACTGATATGTCCCTTCACACGGCAATTACTGTTTGCTTCAGACCCCCCTCTTCTGCCAGTTCCGGTTTTCCTCGCGGAAATGGCTCGCCGAATAGATGGAAGCTGAAAAACACAGAAAAAAAGCAATTCGGGAACGAGCTATGGAGGCCTTGGAGCACTTGCACGAGCGGAAGATCGTGCACCGCACCTCGGATTGGAATCCCCGGAGCGAGGTGTGGATGGGTATGTCAAACGACGTAGTGTTGGTGGGGGGTAGCCTTTTGGGGTTGGGATAAAGGGAAATTAAAGGGATCCTACCATGAAGCGGCCCCTACAGACAGACCCGGATGATGAGACACACAGCAGGACTCCTGTTCTGTTGGTAACAACTCGAACGGGCTTCCGCTTGTTGACTTATTCAAAGAACTTTGGGGTTCAGCCTTGGTCATCGAAGTCGTGTTGGGCCGAGTGAAGATCGGTCCTGAGCTGTTTTTTTTGTTGGGTTCCGTCAGAACTCAGATGCCCCATTTGGAATTTTTGCCTACTGGTTCACAGCCAGTGTCGTAAGTCAAATCAAGGATCCCCTATTGTTCTTCTAGTTTATTCGGGACATCTAGGAATCTATCATCCCGGCAGGACCCGAGTTTCGTGGTTTTCCCCATTCCCGAGCGGGGGCTTGTTTGCCCGAAATGGAATTCGTGCCTGTCGACCTGAATTACCGGCGGTCCGGGCTTAGCTAATTGATTCGTGATCTCCAGTTGACCTCCGAATCGACGCCCTATCTCACTGTCAGCCCTTATAACTTGTGTCGCCAACTAGCGAAACAGTCTCCCAGACCATACCCAATTGAACGCTTCCTCATTTTGTGTTTAGCTGTGTACCTTGAACCCGGTGAGTTTCCTTTTTGAATTTCTCGCACACCACGCCTATGAATCAAGAGCGATGTGTGTGTATGCATATAATATGTACAAGCACCTGGTTCTTGGTCAAATCTTTCCGCAGATTGATGTTGTGGATCTACTTGACATTTGGCACTTTGCAAGCCTTTGTGTCTCATAGCCTGAACGGGGAGGTGACTTTTTTTTTGTTGGCTAGGAGTGGCTCGCAGCTTAGCAAGGGCTCCAAGGCTGGCTGGCTGGCTGGCTGGCTGGCTGGCTGGCTGGCTGGCTGGCCGCAAACCAGTAAAAATACAAATAACACCAACAGTAAGCACAGCTGAAACAAGCCCCAAAGCCTGACGCAAGCCAGCCCGAAGCCACCCCCAAGTTTACCCAAGTTCAACCATAAGCAGCTAAGCTCAAAAAGCAACGGAGGGCCATTTTTTTGTTAGGATGTTTTTTCGTTTTGTGTTTAAAGGTTTTTTTTGTTTTTCTGGGTGGGTGGCTTTTCGGCTTCTTGGCTTTTGTGGCATTTACGTGGCTTTTGTGGCTTTTTCATTTCGCATCCTCTGCATTCACAGTGCCTCTCTGTTTGGCTTTTGCGGGTTTACACGGCTTTTGCGGCTTTGGCTGTTCGCATTCTCTGCATTGCCAGAGGAACTGTCTTGCTAGCAAGAAAAACACACGTCGCGACCCCTGAACGGCCATGGACTCAGGATCCTTGTGGTGGGGCAGGTAGTCGGCCAGAGCAATCATCTTCTGACTCTCCCTGAGTTCAGTTTCGGACTTTAGAGCCACTTGTTGGACGACCCAAAAGCTTTGGTTGCTTTTGTCCGGCCCATCCACTCTATCGGAAGTGAGTCTATTGAACATATCTATATAATATATATATAGCTGATAAACGGAACCCCACAGACGACAGCACAGGCCAGGAATGGCTTGACATGTGGATTCTGGCACAGGTCACAGCACTGAAACGGCGTTCCGCGTCGCTTCGAAGCGAGTTGCGGTCGTGTCGCTCTTTTCCGGGAAGGCAAGCAGTTTGCCAGAACAGCCACATGGACATGTCTTCAGCTGAGATTCGGGGAAGGCGTCGCAGTCTCGTGAAGGGTGGGTCGAAATCCAAGGGGCTCAGCGATAGACAAATGAGCCCTCAGTGAGGTGACATCAAGCCAGAGAACGCCCTGCTGGACGAGAAGGGCTACGCAAAGGCTCCCGTGGCCGGGGGATTTGCGATCTCAGCTGTAAAATGACGTTCTACAGCATGACTACTAGTCTACTCCTGGTTATCATGACAAAATTTGGCTGAACAACCTTCGAAGTATGTAGGCCCTATGGTCGCGCTGGTTCTTGAGATGGGAATTTACCAAGCGGCCATATCTAACAGTCCCTTGCCCACAGAGATACGGTAGAGTTCCGTTTCGGACTTTAGAGTCACTTGGGTCTGGACATTTTCTCGTGGTAAACAAACAGCTTGCTTACCATTTTGTTTGGCCCAGCCACTTGATCGCAAGTACGAAAATCAAGCAACAGCAAAGCACCCGTTTTCCCATAGCCACCAGGTATCCTGTCGCGCGAGATCAATCCATGCCGTTTCTCTCAAAAAGCAAACATTTACCCAAAGAAGCTTTCAAAGCCATCTTCTACCAAGAGAGGCCAAAAGTACCTAAAGACAGTTCCAAGACGATCTTTATGTGCAAAAATACAAACAAAGAAGTACCATCACCAAGAAAGGCCTGAACAAACATGGGCGTCACCTGGATGGGCCTCATCCAATAGATGGCACTGGTTTCAGTGACATTGTTCGAGGGCACCCTTGCAGCGGGTGGGTTTAAAAGCAAATCTAAGGAAAGTCGAATGCCAGCATTTTGGGGGTCCACCCTAGTTCGAAGCTGCCGGCGTGGATGTTGTCCATCCACCATATTGCATCCCCCATATTGGACGAATTGAAAGACGGGGAAACCAAGAAACAGCCCACCGTTTTGGTTCACTTCTTGAGTTTCTCGGACTTTGGTCACTTGGGTCTGGACCATTTTGGCAAACAAAACATTTGGTCACTTTGTTTGGCCAGTCCACTCCATCGGAAGCGAGTTGGGGAGGTTCCGATTCCGTTCGCTCGTGCTTTTAGGTGTGCGACCTGGGCTTCGCACGCTTTGTGCTGAGCAAGACCAATACCTTAGCCCCGGGCCCCAGCTTTCGCAGAGAGCGGATTTTTCCCCCGAAGAAGCAGCGACAAATCCAACTACCTGAGTGTCCGGACTTTTTGGGTTTGGACCATGTCGGTGGCAAACACAAAGTTTGGCGACTTGTTTGGGCCAACCTACTCAGGGAAAGAGGTATGGTTGATTATTTTTTTGATGTGGGAAGCTGAATTCCACAGGGATCAATTTGAAACGGGGTCGTTTGAGTTAGAGGCAGGGGGATTGCTCTAGTGGGGGGGGGGAGGGGTGACGTTGACAAAGGTACAATTAATTGGGCCAGTGTTTCCAACCAACGAGGAAGCGGGCAACTGGGAGGTTTCCAAGCACCATGTTTTTGTTGTTGTTGTTTTTGAAGGGGGGGGGGGGGATTTGGTGGTTTGGTAGTTTGGCGGTTTGTGCTCTTTTGCGTGCTGGGGTTTGGTTGCTTTTGTGGCTCCCTGCACATGAACCTTGATTTTAGAGAGATCTCCTCCAGCGGGACCGTGTTTTGGGGCTCCATGCTCAACTTCTGCAGTTGGCAGGATCCATGGAACAAGTGGCCGGGGGGGGGGGGGGAAGCTTCCCGGAAGTTTGCAACCTGCAAAGGGGGTACAAGCTTGACCCGTCTCATTTTGTTGGCTTCTTTTTTGAGCCAGAACAGAATAGAGCAGAGACAAAGCATCTGTTCTTGAGTATCCAGATGCTTTTTTGAGTCATTTTGTTGTGCTGGAGTTGGCTTCTAGCTGGAACCCCAGAGAGAAAGCATCTGGATACCTACACCAATTTGAGCGATGCTTGGTCTGTACCCGTATCCTTGGCGGAGGTTGGGCGAGCGCAAAAACCATCAACACCAAAGCAAGTTTCGAGCGCGCAGAAATCCAAATCGGAGGGCCCAAAAAAAAACACAACATTTTTCGATGAGTATTTCATGGACCCGGAACCTAGACTGCCAGCTCCATTGAACATGCAGTTTCACAAGGCTCGGAAAGTCAGGACTCGTTGTTTGTGTTTGTTCTTCTTTTGTTATGGGGTATTGCAGTAACTTTTAGTTACCGCTGCAGTAGGTAACCAGGTGTCTTTACCTCACGGTTTTACGTGGTGGTTTCTCCTGATTTCCTGCTATAGTGGTAACTGGAAGCACGGGTTTTGTTTTAAAGTACTTCACATCCCATTTCAATGACTTGGGGCTTCATCTAGATTAACGAAATATTGATCCAGGCTAACAGTGGTTTGTCTGAGTATTTCTCGGGTTCATCCATTCCAACTTGTGAGAAGTTGGTTTTGTCCATCCAGAAAGGTGCGTCCTGAAGCCCGGCACCTTAATATACATGCTTTGGGATGCCTCATGCCATAAAAACCAAGCACTGGGGTCACATGTTGGGTGCCATTTTCCTTTTGTGTGGGATCAGTGAATCAGTGACATCTTGCCCCACTGCCCTTGGCTAATTTTGTTGAATACTAAAGACATGTAGATGCTAGGTTTGCTGCGTTCACTAGCTCCTGGGTACGATTTTCTCGAGGAGCCGAGGTTCTTTTGGGATTCCCACCCCCTTCAGAATGGAATTGGGGGAGGGGGGTGACCCCTTAAATTCCAGTTGTGGTTCCATTCTCCCTTTTTATGGGGAAGACTAGATCCATGGAATTGGGGGACCCACCAGAAAGAATATATTTTGGGGTATTCGGTCTGAGCCGCTGGGGCGAACACGGAGCCTTCCGGGACGGCGGATGGGGCGGATGGGGCGGAGGTGGGCACTCCCGACTACATGGCGCCTGCAGCTTGGCAATAAGCTTCAGGTGAAGCGACTGTGGACTGGTGTGTATTTCAAAAAAAGGAAGAATATTAAAACAAAAAGCCTTGGGTCCATGTTTTTTTTTCAACAAGACTGTCTTGGTTGGTTATATACGAAGAAATCAATAAATCAATATATGAACAAGCGAAAATGGTGATGTAAACCCATATATACATCACAAAGGGACGTATATATCTATAACTATATATATATATATCTATAGAGCCATATAAACCCAACACAAGAAACATCGGAGGGGCTCCTCTTTTTCCAACCTGCGAATGATGGAATTTGAATCGGAGCAGATCCGTGAGGCCTTCTTTGTCATGTCGGTCCCCCCCCCCCGCCTTGTTTGTCTTCAATTCTTCTTTTTGTTTTAAATAAAAGTAACCTCAACAGGGAAGCCTTAAAAAGCAAACAAACAAAAACCAGATAACAAGTACGAAAAACACAAATAACCTCCTAAAAGGTTTTGCTGGTTAAATCGTTTATATCTCTTCCCCCCCAATATATTCCCCACCCGACAGGAAGGGGTTGTTAGATTTTATGTTGGAATCCGCGTTTGCGATGCTTCTACACCACGCCCCCACCCAGTATCCCGCCAGAGCAGCTCGCCAGTGCATCCCGCCGAGTTTCCCGCCAGAGCAGCTCGTCAGTGGATCCCGCCGAGTATCCCGCCAGAGCTGCTCGCCAGTGGATCCCGCCCAGTATCCCGCCAGAGCTGCTCGCCAGTGGATCTCGCCGAGTATCCCGCCAGAGCGTCTCGCCAGTGGATCCCGCCGAGCATCCCGCTGAGAATCCCAGAATAGCTTGCCAGTGGGTCCCGCCGAGTATCCCGCCAGCCAGTGGATCGCGCCGAGTATCCCACCAGAGCAGCCCGCCAGTGGGTCCCGCCGAGTATCCCGCTGAGTATCCCAGAGTAGCTCGCCAGTGGATCCCGCCGAGTATCCCGCCGAGTATCCCGCCAGAGCAGCCTGCCAGTGGATCCCGCCGAGTATCCCGCTGAGTTTGCTAGAGTAGCTCGCCAGTGGATCCCGCCGAGTATCCCGCTGAGTATGCCTTGGTGGATCCTGCCGAGTATCCGGCCAGTATCGAGCCGGAGCGGCTCGCCAGTATTTGCCAGTGGATGCCGCCAGTATCGCGCCACAGCAGCTCGCCAGTCTGGTTTTGCTTACTGCCCCGCCCGGCGCACAGTTGGGTTTACATTTCATGTTGGTGCCTTCGTGTTTTGAGTGCACCCTGAGGGTCGGAAAGGGTGATGCTGTTGTGTTGCTTTGGGTTGTGAACAAGCAACTTTGTTTAATCCCCCGTCGGGTTTCTTTTTGGAAGGGGCTTGGCTTTTGTTAACGGAACCGATGTTTGAGTTCTCGAGATCGGCTCGCAGACAAGTGGAAGTGGCCGATGTGAAGGGAAGGGGCCGATGGGAATTTGACAGTCGAAGTCTCTAGGATGCGGAAGAATTTGTTGTATCGGTCGTAAGCTCGTGAGTGTGGAGGGTGGGGGTTGCTCGAAGAGAAGTATTTTTTTAAGAACCTCAAAAGGGTGAGCCGTTTGTTTTATGTTTCTGGTTCTTCGGGCTGGCTGATGTAAGCTTAGACCGCTTTCTCCGGCCTCAAAACCCGGCTCGAAATCCGACCTTCCAAAAGGACCGGCCGGCCGTCGCTCGTGTTTTTTTCCTTTTCGGAGCACCGTGTTGCTCAGGAAGTCATCGATTTTCCGCATAGCCACAACAGAGCCGTGGACTGGTGGGCGCTGGGAGTGCTGACCTATGAGACCCTTGGAAATATTCGATGGCCTCGCATTCTTTTTTGGGTTGAGGACATCCCGCGGGTTTTCCCTTTTTGGCTTCCCTTTAGCACCCCTTCCCGCCAAAAAACATAGATACATAAACAAAATACAGAACATAAATAACATGGAGCACCCCAAGCCGCACCAAAAATGGCTGTGTATTTTTCAATTAGAAACCCTTGGGACATCTTTGGGCAGTATTTCGTTGGAGATTCCTGTACTGTTTCGGTGGTTCCCTCTTAAATCTCATTTGGGGAAACCTTGAAATAGAAACCACCGATGCGCCGCCGATCATTCATGGACGGTTTCACTATCAATCATTGTTTTGTTCATGGTGACTGGAAGCTTACCGCCCTACCAAAACCCAAAAAGTGCAAAGGTTTTTGTCCGTGGTTGCACTCCAGACAAACTGAAGTACTTGAAAGCCGTTCTCAGTGGCCACACCGGAGATTGCCTTTTTGACATGGACGGGACTGGGCCTGGAAGTGCTTGCCATGGAGAATTCCATCAGGCGGCTCGTCTTTTTTGAGTTGGTACTAGGTACCCTGGGCGGAGACACCAAAAAGAAGAACCGCCATTTTTAGGGCCCCCTCAAAAGACACCCCAACCTCAATAGTTCCGGAGCAACCCTGCACCAGCCACGCATTGCTCCTCTTTTCCGCACTGAATATGTTTGAACGACGCAAGGTTTTTCAGCTTCCTCGACCAAGTCTCTTGCGATTCAGTCTTCGGAGCATCGCCATACACTTTGCTGGGTTCTGGCTAGGCATAAGAAGGCGGGCGGGGGCTAAGCAGGAGCTGTCTGAGACTAGAACTGCATCTCGGCACTCGGCACCATCTGATTTCATGGATTTGCAGCATTCTGACATGTGGCCATGGGTCAAGATCCCGTACCCCCAGTGAACACAACCCCCACTAAACCCAAAATGGGATCCCATTAGTTTTGACCCACAGCACGTCCTCCTGAAAGCCCTTCGTGGCCAGGGCTCAAATTCATCTCTAAGACAAGGGAAAAGAAGGGTCCCGAAACCGGAAGTGAGCCCAAAGCTGGCCAAAAGCCACCCAGGTCCCGGGAAAAACACAAATATATCTTGTCCGACTGCTGCAAAATTGGGGACTCCTTTGCGTTGAAAGGAAGTTGAGGCAAATGGAGAACCGTCAGCTACTTTGGGCCGCGCCAGCATACTGCCTCATGGGTTTGCATGGGTTGCCTCGTCCTTCGGAATGAGAGCTGGGCATTTGCGGTTGCTCAGGATTCTCGCGGGGGACACACCTTTCACGGACGAAGGGGTGTGCGATCCCATGGAAAGATTGTTGGCGATCCGAAGAAGCCAGGACTGCTTCGGGCCTTGTGAGAATAGTCTCTCCTTTTCCGGCTTCTTGTCCTTCCCGGTGTTCAGTAGGGAGTGGCCGAGGGTGTTGGGAATGTGCCTAGGGATTCCCTTAAAGGAAGAGGGCGGGTCGGGCTGCGTTTGTTTCCTCTGATTGGACTCGCTCCTTATTCAACTATTCATAGTTTTAGTTTGAATTTAAGTTGAACTTGACACATACACTCTGTAGAATTCATAAGAAATAACTCCGAGGTCCCAAAATTGTTAAATACAGGTGTTTCAATGTCTACTGATGTGAAAAGCCATGCTGTGTAGCATCTGTTTGACATAGAATCATCAGAAAATCAAATTATAATTAAACAAACATGAATGCTGTCCTTATTAAATGCAACTTAATGTCAGGTAGAAGTTAGGTAGACTTTGATAAGAAAATTAAGTAGCTTTCATAAGGAAATAAGTTATCGGTCCCGAACATGTGGAATACATGTTCCTGTGTAACATTTATTTTGAAGTATAAACAGCAACATTGAAGTATTACTTTAACATTGAAATTCTGATTGGAGTCTGTCCTTATAACATTCTACGCAATTTTGGTCAGAAATTTGACAAAGCTATTAAGTCACAAGCAAAGAATTCAGAGGTCCCGAAAGCGTGTTTTGTTGCTTACTAGCCGCAGCACTACCATGGTCAAAAAGAACCGTAACACAGTGTTGTGTAGCAGTTTTCGTACTCAATTCACATCTCCACCACATCCCCAATTCACATCTGCACCAGGCCCCCCCGATGGCCAGTAATTGGCGTCCCGGGTGAAGTGCCGGCAATTGACCAGCACTTGCTTAAAAATTGTTTTGTAGTCACATAGATTTTTTTCCATCATCAAATGCAGTGAAAAGTCACTTTTGTTGAAACGTCACTTCAGAAATACTAGAGGGGATCCAATTGAGGGCCTGGGCTGGACATGCACCGCGCGGGGGGGGGGGAGGGGGGGCGACACGCTGGTGACACGCTCATATCCCAAAAAAGTGACCGTTCAACGTACATATGCCGGCAATTGGCCACCCCCCGACACGCCGTGACACGCCGTGACACGCTCCTCAAGAACCCCTCCCAACCTCAAACTTGCCATCCAAACCTCAAATTTGCTGCTCTCCCCTTTCCCCTGCAACCCCATTCCAAAGGACCCTGAAAGGTCACTTGTATCATTGCACAAATTGCACTAAGTACAGATGAGTGATACTTGATAGCAAATTGCTTTTGCAGTCACTTAGACATAAAGTGACATCGTTTTGCCCAAAAGCGATGTGCCGGCAATTGGCCAGCCATTGGGGGGTGCTGGCAGAGATCAGTGACTTGGTGGCCGCAGCGTACTGGGAGCGTTTCTTGGGCTTGGTGGCCTTTACGGACAAGTCGCAGGAGAAGAACAAGTTCGACTCGGCCAAGGAATTTCTGAAAACAGAGCGTCAGCCCTTGGATCCTGTGGTTCGCCCACAACACCAAGCCAAAGGGCGTCTTGGCGGATTTTGTCCTGAGGGAGGATCTTTCGAGTTTCTCGTCGAGAGTTTCTCATGTCGGGTTCTTTGTTCGGGGCCAAGGTGACCACTACAGCACCTCATACATCGGCACCCTGGTGAAAACGGTGTACGCCTTGGCGAAGGCGTTCATCGTGCCTGGCTTGGGAGGGCCACGTTCCGTTGAGTCCGGGAACTATATGGACGCGATTGCCACAAAAAACTGCGCTTCAGCAGCTTAAGACGTCAACATTTTCCCTGCCCGCGCCCACCCACCCACCCACCCACCCACCCACCCACCCACCCACCCACCCACCCACCCACCCACCCACCCACACCCACACCCACACCCACCCACACCCACCCACCCACCCACCCACCCACCCACCCACCCACCCACCCACCCACCCACCCACCCACCCACCCACCCACCCACCCACCCACCCACCCACCCACCCACCCACCCACCCACCCACCCACCCACCCACCCACCCACCCACCCACCCACCCACCCACCCACCCACCCACCACACACCCACCCACCCACCCACCCACCCACCCACCCACACCCACCCACCACCCACCCACCCACCCACCCACCCACACCCACCCCACCCCACCCACCCACCCACACACCCACACACACACACACACACACACACACACCACACCCACCCACACACACACACCCACACCACACCCACCCACCCACCCCACCCACCCACCCACCCACCCACCCCACCCACCCACCCACCCACCCACCCACCCACCCACCCACCCACCCACCCACCCACCCACCCACCCACCCACACGCACGCGCACGCACACGCACACGCACACGCACACGCACACGCGCACGCACACGCGCACGCAAACGCACACGCACACGCGCACGCGCACGCACACGCGCACGCACACGCACACGCACACGCGCACGCGCACGCACACGCGCACGCGCACGCGCACCCGCACGCGCACGCGCACGCGCACGCGCACACGCATACGCCTACGCCCACGCACACGCACACGCACACGCACACGCACACGCACACGCACACGCGCACGCACACGCACACGCGCGCCCACACACACACACACAGACACGCAGACACGCAGACACTGACCGAAGCGAGACACAGTGAGACGCAGACACAAACGTACCCACCCACCTGACAACCCACACAAACACACATACGCACGCACACGCACACACGAAAATGCACACACGCAAGCGCACACGCAACTCAACGTCGAAGCTGTCTGGACGTGGGATGTTTTTGCGCACGGATGAGGACGATGGACCAAGGGCTAGGACGTTTGTGACCACCAAGGGGGAGCTGCTGATGGAGGAGTGCGCTGTGTTGGTTCGTGTAGAGACGTCTTGGGTGTTGCTGAGGGTTCTTTCGTTTCCGCCCTGCGCAGGATTTGCGCTCCCGCGTCAAAACCTTCACGGAGAAGCTGGCGAAGCAGGAGCAAAAGCTCGCTGCGAAGGGGAGAGCGCAAGACGTGGTCACAAAGAAGCTCCGTCTACACATCGCACAGAAAAAGATGGCCTCTTGGACTGGCTTTGGTGCCTAGTTCTCGTTGCTACGGTGTGTGTCTTGTGGAACCTTCTGTTGCCTCAGGCTTTGCTCGCCACCAAGATTTTGCTGTGGCAGGCGGGGCGGACAAGGGAGATCCGCACCGCGGTAGTCAACAAGGACAGTGTCTGGGGATGAGTTTTTGTTCATTTGTTCTTTCAAACCGTTTCTGCAAAGACCCTGGCAAACATCACATTGACCCTGACAAGGACGTGCGCGATGAGGAGTGGACATCGGGCACCGTCACCGTCTTTGATCCAACGGAGTGCAAAACAAGGTGGCGCACGGATCCTGACGACACCGCAGAGGACAGATCTGCTCTGAGTTCTGCCTGCAAATCTTGTTTCCAAATTTCTCTACCCTTATGTGGCGCCTCGACAGGACCCTGGCAAGACGATGTGCCATCCTCTGCTGAACCTCTACACAGAATACCTGAAGCGTTGGAGGCCCGTTGTGCATCGTAATTTGGGCGATTTGGCTCCGTGGGATCGGACCTTTACGGCCGATGACGGGTCTGGATGTGAGGCGATGTCTACTCTCTTTCCAGGCTTCTTCGACGACAATCGCCACGGCGCGTTTGTCCGCCAAACTTTCAAGCGGATGTGAGGAAGGCTTGGTCTCGGGCTATTGGCAAGGCGGAGTGCAAGTCGCACAAAGTCGACCCCAACGCCTGGTACCAGCAGCTGCATCACTCGGAGGCGATTCACAACAAGGTGTACCGCAGGGGAATGCGGAACTCTTGCAATACGATGATGCTGAAAATCCTTGGCAGGTAATTTTGGGTGCAGACGCTCATTAGGATAACACTCTTGAGATGGTTCTTTCCAATTTGGCAAGCATCATGGCGAGGTTCTTTTGGAACAATTGAAGGGTTTTCTCCACAGAACTATGCTGGTTTGCACGATTTCCAGCCAGAGAGATTTATCCCGTCTCCTACCACCCCTCGGCTGCAGATCTTCGGATTAGCGCCTTTTTGAAGCACGCGGTCTAATTAAGTACGGATTAATTGGGACTCAAGCAAGAAATAGGTGATCCGAATCCTATTGCGATTACATTTAGACTCTAGACGGAAATTTTTCCCCATAGCACTTTACAATTAGATTAGAGTTGAAACATAATTTGATAAAGAATGAATCCAATCACTGATAAGGAATGAGTCCAAGCAAGATTTTTTGTTTCAATACTTCAATAGTAGTTCTATCCAACCCTAGGTCTCGAGCGAGCAATTGAAGATGATGGGCTTGTTTGAGAGAAAAACAAAACAATCAAATTGTTTGTGTTTGAGCTTTAACCAAAACAAAATAATAACAAACAAACAACAACCCCAGGTCTCGAACAAGCATATCAAGATGATGGGCTTGAGTTGTGTTTCGCTTTTCAGCCTCCCCAACAGGAAAAAGCAACCCCAGGCCTTGAACGCGCAGATGAAGATGTTGGGCTTGGTTTTTTGTTTCTTGTTCGTTTCTCTTTCTTTTGATCTTTTCTTTCGGGGGGGTTGTTGTTGTTGGTTCGAAAAAATGCAGCCCCCAGGGCGTCCCCTTCTGTAAAGGAAACCATAGGGGTCACTCCCTCATTCCCTGCTGAGAACCAGCTTCTTTTCTTGGGATTACTTGTTTCTTAAAGGACGCTTGCTACATCAGGTTCATCGGGAAGGGCTGATCAGCGCATCAGATTTTCTTGTCGCAAGTCGGGAGACTTTGGCATATGTGAGTCAAAGCAGGGGCGGGGCCTTGCATGTTTTATTGCCCAAACAGAAGCTAGGTCCCCCAGTAGTGCCATTTTACCATTTTTGGGGGGAGGGTTCCCCTACTCAAATAGATTACAAAAAAAGGTGCCCTTTTTCTAACCTCTCCACTGGAGGACCTAGGAAGAACCCTGGGTTTATTGGGACAAGGAACGAGACGCTTGGACGGATGCCAATTATTTCTTTTGCTTGGCGCTTTGTCGCTCGTGTGCTTTCGTACGCAGGCCATGCGAACCTTTTGTCTGAGGGTGTTTGTATTACACCCTGGGATTACACCCTTGGGAAATGACCCAGAATTGCTCAAAATCACCCGGTTTTATCCGGAAATGTGCCTAAATGGGGTAAATACCCTGCGGGTGTATTCCCAGGGTGTAATACAAAAACCCTTAGATTCTGTTTCTTGCAATTAGGATTCCAGTAAGAATTCCGTATCCTCTGGTTCACAAATGCTTGGTGTCTTAGGGCTCCTTAAAAGATACAGTTTGCCCATTTGAAACATGGCTTTTTCCACCAAAATAAAGGGAAACCACAATTTACAAGGCAATGTTCAGGTGTATAATGTAAGCATCCCTGCCGTAAGAAGATACAGGAGGGTGTCAGGGTTGTGTTCCTGAATTGATGTATCTTCAGCGATGTTGGCTAAGCACATGTTTCGATTCGTTGATATGCTACTGATTGTTTGCTTTAAAAATCAGCTCGAAACAGGGTTCCCCCCCGAAGAAAGACGAGTCACCCATGTACATGGTTTGAAGCAGAGGACACCGGAAGACACGATGCACCATTGGGGTCCGATCGAGACAGGGGAGCGTACTCGCTTCCAAGGAATCGATACAACATTTGGCGCTTTGCCAGTCAGAAACCAAGAGCCTCACTTGAAACTTGTTGTTGAAGTTCTCGACGCTTTGCCTCATTTGCGCGAGCGACTCCGTTGATTCGGGGGTTACCAACTCTTATGTCTACAAACTGTCCAAGTAAATATCGAGCGCTCGCGCGAGTCCTTCTTGGAGTTTTTTTGTGTCAGAAAACACTTTGCAGATTTGGGATTTGCCCAGAACCCAATTGCCCAGTGGTGCCCGATTTCCATTTTTTTTTGGGAAGGGTTCACCTTTAAAGTCAACCAACAGAAAAAGGATGCCCTTTTTTCCTATGGCCACTGGGCATCTGAGAGAACATCGCATATCCTGCTCTTGCGTCTGGATTCCCCGTGGTTTCTTAGCTTACAAATCCCTCGCGGAGCTCGAAAGAAGATGGCTTGGGGGTTCCTGCTTGCGCGGGGCTGAGTTGACCGCCCAACAAAGATGCGGCGGGCACATTTTGTGTGTTTTTTTCTTTGGGGTTTCCGTAACAACACAGAAAAGGCGCCGCGCCTCAAACAAGACCCCTTCCCAAATGTTCGTGTTTTCTTTGGTTCCCAAGGGCGGCCTCCCACAAAAGGCACGGCCATCGACGAGACATGCTGGGGCATGGGGTTTCAGACTCATGTCATGGCAAAAAACAACCTCTTCATAAGTCGTTTTTGTCATTTTTGGTCATTAGAGCCATAGGCCAAAGGATTGGTAGGGCGCCGACTCCTCGCTCGCGATCCGTCGCAGGAATGCGGGCTGCAGTATCCTTTCCACTTCCCTCAGATGGCCAAGAGCCGCCTGGCAAGTTTGGCGAAAGGCGAGAGTTTGGAGAGCCAGTCCCTCAATCCACATGTTCTCAAGCTAGGTCCCCCAGCGATTGGTGCCTTTTACCATTTCTTGTTTGGGGGAGGGTTCCCCCAGCTAAGTGCCTTTTACCATTTGTTTTTTGGGGGAGGGTTCCCCTATAGTAAAATAGACTACGGAAAAAAGTTGGTACACTTATTCTGACCTCTTACTGGAGGACCTAGCAAGGAACTCCAGAAAGGACTGGTCCGCTTTTTGCGTGTGTGTGTGTGTGTGTGTGTGTGTGTGTTCCTCTTTTGGTAGGTTTTGAAGGGAGATCAAGAGGAAGACCAAAGCCAATTGAGAGGTGTTGCCCTAAAACAGGACACCCATGTTGATTGGTGTTTCCCTTTTCGCTGGTTCTCCCAAAGAGAAGGACTCCCTGTGAAGTGGAGCAGGTTGTCAACTGGTTTAGCATCCCTCCCAGGCACCCATGGGCGCAACCTGGATTCACCATTTGGCCTCTTCGAGTCTATTGAGTCTATTGGGCAGGCCTCTAGAGTACTATGTGTGTGTCTGTGTGTGTCTGTGTGTGTCTGTGTGTGTCTGTGTGTGTCATGTTTTCAGGGTATCCATGGTACCCCCCCCCTTTGTGGCCGTGTTTCAAAGGGCCATTTTGGGGGACCCCCAAAAGACGAGCCAGAGAAGACTTCTGGAGATCTTTTGGCTCGGTTTTTGGTTTTGACCCATTTTTAATGGCCAAGCAAATACCCACAGCTCAATAAGCCCAAGTTATAGCCCCAACAGCCCCGGAACCTCCCTGGACCTTTCCTTTTGAACCCTCCCTGACTGCCCCAAGCCACTCTTTCCCTATCTGGGCCTATCGACCCCTATGGCTTTTAGTTGGGGCAAAAACATGTTCAGGTGTTGAGAAGCCATCGGCGTTTGAGATCTTCGGGCTAAGCTTCGATTGGCTGAGGCTTTGTGTCGCAGCTGCTGCAACTTCGGCCATTTGGCGGAGCATGATTTGCGCGGCGGGGGCCGCCGTTTTGCCTAAGCCAAAAAGCCACGCCTCGACTTTTGGGAAATACTGAACTTGGTGGCTCCCAGCCATCCGGTTCCTTAGCTTCTTAGCTTTCCAGGATTTAGAGGGGATTGTCACTTACCCCACTAGACGTTCTCAACTTCTGGCAGGGGATCTGAAAACGGACAACCCAGTAAACGGCGGCGAGCAAACATTTGAGCTTCGATTTTCCGAAGCTTCGGCCGAGCGACTTGGATTCTTCCTGCTTGGAGGTCTAGGTCCCCGGCTAGGCGCCCTTTTACCATGTCTTTTTTGGGGGGAGGGTTCCCCTACTCAAATAGACTACAGCGAAAAGTTGGTACCCTTATTCTAACCTCTCTACTGGAGGACCTAGATGAGTACCATTTCCACACGCCAGCGTAAAATCACAAAGTGATTCACATTTCACCCGAATCATCATAATTACGCATGTGACAATGCAGACACTTTAGAGGACTGTACAAAATATAATTATGGAGTGGCCCGTGTGACAAATTGCTCAGTCATGTTGTGCAATATATTGCAACATATCGCATATGGATAGGTGTTATTTTCACACCAGGCGGCAAAGCTTATCATTCGGCCAGAACTAGACACGATCTTATTTTGTATTTGGCTGTGGGTCAAAACCAAAGTTACCATTTTGGGGTAGGTGCACCACCCATTTTATTCTATTTTACTGGGGATTGGGATGTTCACTGGGGGCACGATTTGGATTTTAACCCATGGCCATTTGAAACTACCTAGAGTAAGAACCACCTAGAGTCTCCATGACCCTGAAAAACAAGGGTCCATGACGCCTCAATTTTGGGTAATGACCTCATTTTTTCCGGGTCATGGAGCATCGTACGCGACAGCCTTGCGAATCGGGGCAAGCCACCGACTCCTTGCAGAGGATCCCTCAACGCAGCGGGGGCATTGATGAGGCGTCCATGAGAAGGAGCTGATCCAAAGCCATAATGTTGACACCCATATTCACAAGCAAGCTTGGCAACAAGGTGTCATCAATGTCCTGCCGTGGCTCAGCAAGGTTTCTTTCTAACACTGGCTAACTTTGCCAAGGGTTCTTTGCATACTTCCCAAGACTTGGAGAGGGTCCAACTTGAATTTCAACCACCCAAGGCTTAAAAAGTAAATAAAAATGTTGACACCCATATTCATCAACCCCAGTTTATTATTAGAGGTGTTCCCCTCCAAAAGTGACAAATCTCCACTAAACCCGCGGTCAACAGTACCTGCTTAAGAGTCTATTGACAATTGCAAGTGGACACCGGGCCCCATGGGTATTTCAAAGTTCTAAGTAGTGCATCCATGATCAACACATGTTGGCAACCACGTGTTTGTCATTCATTCTAAGGATTTTCCTATTACACTCTGTGATTGCACCCTATGACAATGCCTAAAATAATCCCAAATAAGCCCACTTAGGCAGGCTTTATCTGGAAATGGCTAGAATAGGGTGATTTTCCGGGCGTAATCTCAGCGTGTAAGGACTGCTTAAACGGGCATTGTACTTAGTAAGTGGGTACTAACCCTGGTTATAGCCCACAAACGCCATGATTATAAGTCTCCATTCAGTGGGTTCTCTCTCCAGGCTTAACCACTTACCTGACGACCCGGGTCGCTGCGTTTCATAGCGTGATTCCCACACTGAACGGCGACCTATAACCAATGTGGGTCATAACTATACTTCATACTTCTTACCCACTTACCTGAAGTACAATGCCCCTTTAAGTTGTCCATGGATCCAAGAGTTTCCTATCACACGCCGAGATTGCGCCCGGAAAATCACCCCCATTCTAGCTATTTCCAGATAAAGTCTGGCTAAGTGGGTTTATCTGGATATTTTGGGTATCGTCTCCCACATTCCTATTACACGCCGAGATGGCGCCCGGAAATTCAGCCTATAGCTAGTTCCAGATATGGGTATGGGTCAAAATTAAGCCAGGAATCGGACCGCAGGTTTTCGTCCATGTTTCCATTTACCAGGGATCCATTTTTGGGATACCCGTTTTTTGACCCACACCATTCATCCTTCCGAAGTCGACCGGATCTGAGGCCGGAAGAGCGACTAGGGGCTGGCACCAAGGGAGCAGAAGCGGTGCGTGAGCACGCGATGTACAAGAGCCCCGGCACGGCTCATAGAAAAAGCCATGCCTGATTTTCTAGTGAGGTACTGGCTCTTCGCCAAACACACACACACACACACACACCATGTTTTTGCGTGTTTGTATTTTTGTGGTCTTTTTTTTTGGGGGGGGAGGACAACTGGGGATCTCTGAATTTGTCAATTGCTTTGGGGGCGGGGGCAGACCTTGGCTCTCGGGTGTTCTTTGGGCGTTTGCTTTGGTTTCCTGTTTTGAGAGGGAGTAGGGTTGTTGCTTGGTTTGGTTCGTTTTTGGCTGGGGGGGGAGAAGGGGTGCGTGCGTTGACAAGACAGGGTCGAAAAGACAGGCAAACCAAGCAGACTGCCTGATCGGGCACCCAGTTTTCGGAATTCCAAGACTGGTTGAAATGGGACTATGGAGCTGTTTTGTGCCTGTCGCCTGTGTTGACTTCCAAGACTTACAAGGGGGGCAGACTCAATCTTCCGTGGATATTGTGGGCCTGGCTATCCCGCGATTTCTCTGTTTCGGCATCGGAATCCTGAATGACCAATTTTTAGTCGGTGCCAAATTCAGTCAGCTAACAAGCGAATGGGCAGCCACTGACACTTTCTTGAACAAATGGCGAGACGGGATGCGAAAGGCCGCAAGGATGTGACTTTGGATAGGGTGACGGGAAAGTGAGAGTGTCATTGCAAGACATGGCTTTGAGCTCTGGAACCGCGAAGCAATTCACTGTGCCTTTGCTTTGCATTTGCCGCGCGCAGAACTTGCAGGACTGGCTGTGCATTTGTTGCGCAGGCGTTGTTTATACTGTTAGTGGTGCAGACAAGCAGGATACCAATCGCACTGTGCTACTGGACGAGACAAAGATTCGCCACCTTCCTTGGTGGCTTCCAGCCATCCCCTTCGCTTTTTAGCCTTTTAGTGTTTAGTGGTAGTTTCCGTTTAGCCCACTTCGACTTGAACGGGCAGCTTCGACTTGAACGCCAGCAGTTGGGGCCAATAGAAACCCGCCCTGTGGCTGTCGAGGGCCTCCCGCCCATAGGGGTCCCCAATCCCAAGAGGGGCGAATAGCGCAGGGGCCTCTCTTTCTTTTTTTTTCCTGGGCGCCCTTTTTTGGGGTGTGTCCCATTCTGCTGCTTTGAAGGGGGTGTCAACAATTCCCTCCCGAATCCACGGGAAGAGTTGCCCGAGCGAGAAACCGAGAAACCCCTCACCGCGATGGGAAGAGCTGCCCAAGCGAGAGACCAAGCGAGGACTTTGAAGTTTGACTTCAAGTCCTTCCAAGCGCAGACCATGGCGACCCCATTCGCGAAGCCCTGGAGTGTCCTCGTCCGCAATGAGCGGAGCTTGAGCGATCCCTTGTGTCAAGAACCTGCGGGCAAACAAAGCGCATAAGCGCAGAGCGCAGGCGGTCCGCAAGTTTTTTGAAGTTGAAGTATTGGGTTTCGCGGAATAGGCGTCGAGCGCGAGGGTCCAGGCTGTTTGTTTTGAGTTGTGTTTTCAGGTTTAGTAGTACCAGAATGCGGCGGTTTGGACAGGGCCTGTTGCGATGTGCGGTTTGTGAATAGGGCTTTGGCTTTGGCTTTGTGTTCAGGGTTTAGTGGATTCCAGGCTTTCAGGACTTCATAGCTCGCACGTCTTTTTTTTCAGGGCTTCTTGCTGGTGCTTAGCAGGAAATGAGGGAATGACCCTGATAAACCATTCCTTGTGGTTTCCTGTAAGGGAATCCCCAGGTTCATTTCCTTTCGACTGAGCACCAGCAAGGCTTTAGGGTTATGTCTTTAGAGTTCGATGCGAAGCTCTTCGCACTCTCAACTTTACCCCTTTAGCTTCCACGGCTTCTTGGCCGCAGCACCTCCCCCTAGCCGTAGTAGGAAAGAAGCGCCGATGCGGTGAGACAAGCATGAAAAAACGGGCGGCATGCGGACGTGAACCCAAACCAACCGGAGGGGGGCAGCCCCTCAACAAAGCCCACAAAAAAACCCGCAAACAGCCCAAACAGAGAAAGGGGGATCCCCAAACGACGCCAAGCCCGGTGAAACACGGGTCAGGTCTCGAGAGACACTGCGTGCTGCTCTTCACATAACACAGTAATCTCCAGTAGTGCAATCCAGATGCCCAAACAAGTGCGGCCCATCCAAAGTGCGTGGGCCCATTGCTCACAAGTCAAGGGATGTACATCCCTACCAGCACAGAAAGGGGATATAGTCAAAACCCGCCATGACAGCCCAAGTGAAAAGGGCAATGAATTGTATACAATCAGGTTGCTATCAGCCAGAAAGGTTTCTGCACCCAAACTGTCGGTCAGTTCAGAAGCATACCCCGGCAGGATACCGCACCAGCACAAGCATAATGCCATACAAGTTCAATCACTGGAATGTGAAAGCACCACCGCGAATAAACCCGTCGGTCAAGCATCACTACCCGCACAAGGTGGGATGTGGGTACACACGCAAGGGCAGGTCATGTAGACGGGTTGCACCTGAGCGGTAAACCAGTCAGTTCGGAGGCATACCCAGGGAGGAGACCACACCAGCACAAACAGGATGCCATATGGGTTCAAACGTTGGGATATGAAATCACCACCACGTCCTAAACACGTCGGCCAAACATCACTACCCGCACAAGGTGGGGTGCATTTGCACTCACAAGGGTAAGTCATTTGGACGTGGGCACAAAGTTGCACTGCGAGAATTGAATTGTATACAACCAAAGGGACGCAGGACCCTCCGTCCCTTAACCTCAGCCGGCTTCTCGCAATCGTTTCCTGAGTCTAGCATGGAGAGACCGGCGAGCGGCCGAGCTCATGGCCGGAAAGTTGTCTTCCAGTTGAATGTCAGGTAGCTGCTTGGGGAGGCAAATAATACCACGCATGTTACTGGGGTAAGAATGCTGCACACAGTACTGGCACAAATGTTCAACAGTGTCCCCAGCCAAGCGCAATGATGGTCGGACGGCAAAGCCCCCAGTCTCACGCATGAGGCTATACACTCGAATGGAAATCACGTCAGCCGTTCGTTTTCCTGCCAAGTATAGCGTCGGGTGCAGTTGTTGCAATTGCTGCACTGTTACCCGCAATAGATCTGCCTGTTCTGCCAGTAAACGTAGGTGGGCAGGCCTTGCAAGTCAGTGGCACATCCCTACTTTTGCTTTTCACGGCGGACCGGAAACCGCGAGCCAGTTAAAAGGTAAAAGTTCGCCAAGAGCTCAGGCCAAGTGATTCCCCAGTCGCCGTCTCCTGGTTCAGCAAGACGCGGCCACTGCATTGTTTGTGTGAATCAGGCAGCTGCCCATGGCACACTTTTCCGTGTGCCTCGATCCAAAAGCGGCTTCCATGCCACCGGTTTGTGCGTGTTATCCTTGCTCAGGGGGCCACTGATGGGGTACCCCTTTTTCAAACTGAAAACCTGCACTCCTCCCCTTTGTGTTCAGAGAGGGCACAAATGACAAAACGTTCCTAGCTCTCACATCCTCCGTTCTTGCCATAGAGGATGCCCAGCTCAAGCCGCATCACATCAGTCCTCGGGGCCATCTGCCCTCATCTTGCATTCTCTCAAAGTTCTCGCCGGTCACGCCACCTTGGCAAAACCTGCAAGGCTGCATAGGGTTCGGCGGCTCCCTTCCAATGCCCACACATCGAGCATTGCTATGCAGAAAGCCGTCTTCTCCACGATACGATCTTGCGCCCCGTGCTCGCTGTCGTTCTCCCAGCCAACAGTGAGGACACGGCAGCACCGCCCGCATTCCCCGGACAGTGGCGTTCCGGAGCCCATAGCAGTTGCGTCGCCAGTGAATCCGGTCACCCATCGAGGTGATGTGGTAAACCTCAACTGCTTCCGGTTCCGGCTGCAGCTCCCGCCACCGGAGCTGTTCCATGACCCGAAGCTCCTCCCGCCACCTGGCATTCAATCTCTCATCTTCTGTCTCCTGCTCAACCGACCTTGTGGGAGCTCGCTCGTCTGCAGGCTGCCCCTCAGCTTGACCCGTGCTCCCACCGTTCCGCCTCCTCACTGCACTTGACCTTGAGGCAGTCCCGCTGGTAGAGCTGGAAGACCGTGCCACCGAAGCGCTCTGCGATCTCGGCACCTCAATGACTTCTTCTTCTTCTTCTCCTGTCTGAGTGCTCCTTTCCACACTGCTCACTCTCAACCTCCTGATCCCCTGGCGGAGCCCCGACACAGCCTCGGTAGCCAAGCGGTAAATCACCACCGCAACCACAGCTATCAGCAACACCACCACGGAGATGTCCACACCGTCCTCCTCCGGCTGTGGATTATTGCCCTGTGCTCTGCAACCAGTGATCACGATCAAGATCACCAGCAACTGGATCCACCTCTCCCTTTCCGGCTGAACCACCGCTTTGCTCACCTTGGTCACCTTGCTCTCTTCTCCCATGGCCTTGAGGTTCCACAGGTCGCAGAGCTCTTTGATCCTCATCGGACCCAATGGCTTTGTGCCAAGGTCTGCCAGCATCTGCTGTCCTGGGCAGTGTCGTAGTTCCCAATCTCCGGCCCTGATCCTCCACCGCAGGTGGAATGACCTCAACCGAAGGTGTCGTGTTCGCCACGAACCTGTGACATCCGTGGCAATCGCCACCGCTGCCGCATTATCCGACAGCAACATCTTCTTGAAATTGTCCATACCCAGGGTGTCTGTGATCAACGCCTCCACGCTGTCTCCAAGGATCACGCTGTCGATCGCCTCGATCAGCTCGCTCTCCGCTGTTGACAGTGCTGGAAAAGCCTGCTTTCCTGCCTTCCACGCAATGACCGTGCCGTTCCATGCTACCAAGGAACATCCTTGGCTCCTTTCTCCCAACGGCGCAAACGAAGCATCTGCATAGGCCTGCAATCCGGCGGCACCATGACCCGACCAATGTCGTCCAGTGTCTCCAGACACCCATAGCCCCCATGCCTTCGTTTCCTTCAGGTAGCCCAGAACATAGCCCGCAGCCTTGATCGTCCATTTGGGATTCTTGGACGTCATGCTGCACATACGACTCATGCTGTAGAGCAGGTCCGGCCGTGTTCTTGTCATCAACCACAGAATCTCCCCCGTCACCTTCTGAGCTCTCGTGAGGTCCATGGCCGTGAAATGGCCCGGATCCTCATCCGCCTCGTCCGCAATTTCCTTGGACATCGGCGTCTTGGATCTCACCAGCTCGCCCTCATGCCTTTTCAGCAACTCCTCGACGTAGTCGCTCTGATGCAGGAAGATCCCATTCTCCTCCCGCTTCAAGCTCATTCCTAGAAAGCGGATCTGGTGTTCCTCCGTCAGGACGTCCGGCTTGCTCGTTTCCCACCTCTCCGAGATCACCGCCTCAAACCTTTCTCGCACCGGCTTCTCTGTCGCCGTGAGGACGTCGTCAACGTATATAGAGACCAGACCGGCCAGAACCTCGGTGCCATCACCAACCTCCAAGATCCGCCACAAATTCTGCTCCGCGGCACATTGCTCCAGCTTGTAGTAGACACCGTTCACCTCCCACGTCAGCTTCGCCAGCTCCGCATCCCGATGATCAGACCACCTCCTCGGGCTCTGTCGAAGTCCGTACATGGCCTTGTCGATCAGCCACAGCTCGCCCGGCTCCGCATAGCCCAATCTGACCATAATGGTCGGAGGCCTCATCGCCACCAGGTTTTCCGGCTCCTTCTCCTCGTGCAAATCCGCATTGAGAAACGCAGACTTGATGTCCAACGCAGACATAGTCCACTTCTTTTCCATCGCAACCTTGACCTGCAGGCGGATCGCCGTGATGTCCGTCCCACCCGCAAAGGTGTCGCCCTCCGCCTCCGTGTCCCGCGCCACGTGGTTCCCACAGACCACCAATCTGGTCTTCCTTCTAGAACTCCCGGCCTTCACACTGAAGATCGCCTTGGCCGGCACCACAGACAGCTTGCTGCCCTTCTCTCGGATCATCTTCTCCGCCTCCCTGGGCGGCACCCTCCGTAGCGCCTGCTTCTCCGTCATCAGCGAGTCCAGCTCGGTCTTAATCGAGGCCGCCCAACCTTCCTTGTCGGAGATTACCTCATTCGGAGACACCATCTTCGTGTGCAAGATCTTCTCCGCCTCCGTCTGATCCGGAACCATCTGCTTCAGGTTCTCCTCCTCATCTCGCAGTTTCCGCACCATTCGGAAGGTCATCTCGGCGGTCCCTTCTTCATCTTCCAACATCCTCTCTTCTTCTTCCACGATGATGTGGCGAAGCAGCCGAATCCTCTCCGCGACCTTGTCACCACCACCATCGTCCATCCTTCTCGG